ATTTTGGGAGCATGCAAATGATTATTAGAGGAGTGGGCAAAGCTATGGACAAAGTCAGAGACACAGATGTGAATTAAAGTAAGAGAGTTTGTGGCCCTGAGACTTACCTGCAATAGTTTGTGTTCAATCTAAGTCATGTGCAACTTGGCCTTCGCTATTTCTGTTTCCCCATCTCTCCAGGTTTAAGACAGCTGATATTCTTTGTTTCAAATGCACTGAAAACTATTGAGAGTTCATTTTCTTATCTTTTCTGTGTCACAGGATTGATTGATAGAGTTATTTACATTGTGCACACTCTACATAATGCATGTAAATGTCATCAAAATCAATTATTACCATTTTATAGTAGGAGAGTGAGAGTCCTCTGTTCGGTTCCCAGATGCTTCTCCCCTCCCACCCCAATTTCAGACGTGTTCTAGAACATGACGCAGCCCACAGACCTCAAAATAAGGCCAATCCCTAGCGGGTGGCATGTGTGGAAAGACAACATGTGTTCGAGTAAAATTCTGATAATGATGATGATAACCAAGAAGTGATAAAACCTATACAGGGTGTATCATGATTCCTGCCCCTGCAGGAACTCACTCATTGCTGCCAACAACCCTTGAGATAATTTCTGCTATTATTTCCATTGCATAGGAGAGGAAATTAAGGCACGCTCTACTCCTACAGACAAGGCAACATCCACAAGAGGCTATGTGGCCATGACAATAATAACTGCTAAGCGTCCAAAATGGAAACCATCCTCACACGCCACGATATTTTGAATTTAATTAAAAAAAAACAATTTGCAATGAATATTATAAAAATAGATATATTACAATTCGGGTGTTCTTGAATATTTTCAGCTGAAAATTCTTAGGAAAAATGATTTTAAAGTTGGTCAGAGCTGCCACTTAGGGAAAACATTTTTTTTTTTTATAGACACATGTAGCCATGTGGGGAAGGTCCGCCGCTTGTGTCTATAGACGCTTATGGCCTCAGTTCCTAACTGCAAAGTGGGGGTAATTATAGCACTGACTTCATAGAGTTGTAAAGATGATAAGAATTAATATACACTAGGTCCTACGTGTGGGGGTGCCAAAAAGTGGTTGTGCTTTATTTATTCCTTCACTGCTGTAATGGAGTTTCTATGGTTTTAAGAAGGAGAAGTTCTAGCTCTGCCTACCCACCAGGTAAGCTGCATTTTTCTGTTTCTCCTTCCTGCAACCTTTCTAAAAATGTACCAGCATATATATCCTATGTTTCTGTTGTTCTGACTCTCCGGTAATGACCCATGCTATGTGGATTTCTCAGAAGTTGAATTAAGCCCTTTAAATTCTTACTTTGTTTTGATTTGGGGCATTCAGACACGGTGGAAATGGAGAACTCATATTCAGGGCACATTTACAGTTTTAGTGTCCAAGACGATTTACTTTTATTTATTTGATTAGAATTCACCCTTGGCCTTACTTCCAAAACAGGATTTTAAGTAACTACAGTTTCCCTTACAAAATAGGCCTTTGTTTACATAGATGCTGAGAAAGTATGGCCAATTTGATAGTTTATGTGCAATCACCAAAGAAGCCCTTCTTAAGTTTTTTTAAATCAATTTACTGCACACTTAATGTGTTTTTGGCAGTAAAATGAGGTACCAGGGAAAAAAGAAAAAAAGTGAAAGATCCCTGTTCTGATTTTGTTGTGAGGGAAAAGAAACATAAATATACAAAGACAACTGAAGATTAATGAAAAATAACCTATACTAATAATAGAGGAATATGCAAATTGGTGGGACACCTTCACACAACGACCAAACAGCAGGCTGCGTGGGGCAACCAGGCTGGCGGGGCGGGAGGGGGGGCAATTAGGGGCGACCAAGCCAGCAGCGGGGGGCAGTTAGGGGCAACCAGGCGGACAGAGGGGGCAGTTAGGGGTGATCAGACCAGGAGAGGGGGCAGTAGGGGGTGACCAGACTGGCAGGGGGGGCAGTTAGGCATAACCAGGTCGGCAGGGGGAGCAGTTAGGGGCAGTCAGGCTGGCAGGCAGAGGCGGTTAGGGGTGATCAGGTAGGCAGGCAGGTGAGCAGTTAGGAGCAAGTGGTCCCGGATTGTGAGAGGGATGTTGGACTGCTGGTTTAGGCCTGATCCCTGACAGTTGTACATCCCCCGAGGGGTCCTGGATTGGAGAGGGTGCAGGCTGGGCTGAGGGGATCCCCTCCCTTGTGCACAAATTTCATGCACCGGGCCTCTAGTTAATGAATAAAGAATGTATTATGATGTGGTCTAGAATTCCAAGAAAATAAGGGAGAGGAACAGAATGGAATAATTAGCTCTGAGAAAATAGGGAGAGGGACAGAATGTAATAATTAGATCTGAGTGTCTTACGAGAAATGTCAAAAAGACAAATCAAGATTACTATCAGACAATAGTGGTAATAATTATTGCTGTAAATTACAGAGCTCTATCTATATGCCAGGAACTTTACTGAGCATTTTAAATAGGATTAGCGCCCTAGGAGGTCATTTTTCTTATTATTCTTATTTCACAAATGGGGACACCAAGCTGATAGAGATTAAGGAATTGCCCAGGTCACACAACTAATAGGGTGTAGAGTCAGGGTTTAAAAACCTAAGTCTATCTGACACAATCCCACAAAGAGAAAAACACAAAAGGTCTGTTGGGAAGAAGATCATCACTGAAAGGTCAGAAGGTGAAGAGAGACACCAGCTCTAGAACAGAGGAGCCGCCCGGAGGGAGAGGGAGGAAGTGGCTGCTGACAGTGGCTTTGAATGCTAACCTCAAGGGCCTAGACCTAACCAAATAGGTAACAGGACCCTCTCGTGTAGAATGACAGGATGAAATCCAGTTTGGCCTAAGTAATCCCTGCAGCTGTGGGGAAAAGAGACTGAAGGGAGCCCAGTTGGTGTGGCTCAGTGGTTGAGCATTGACCTATGAACCACAAGGTCATGGTTAGATTCCCAGTCAGGGTACATGCCCAGGTTGCAGGCTTGATCCCCAGTAGGGGGCGTGCAGGAGGCAACTGATCAATAATTCTCTCTCATCATTGATGTTTCTATCTTTCCCTCTCTCTTCCTCTCTGAAATAAATTAAAAAGAAAATTTTTAAGAGACTGGAGGGAGGAGAAACTTGTCTGCAGAGAGAGCCAGGAAGAGGTCCTCAGGCAATGGGCAACAGAGATAGCATGTCAAAGAAATGGGCTCTGGCTCTCAGTGTTCTGATATCCATGTGCTGAATCAGCTCACCGAAAGCTGAGAGCTCAACATTAGATTTCCACCTCTGGACTCAGAACTCTGAAAATAAAATGCTTTGACCCTGGGCTTTGTCTTCTGGTTGCCAATGGCACTCAAGATCCTGTCTATGATGTGGCGAAGAAAGATGCCATCTATGGAACACGTGTCTTTCACTGTATCTTTAAACCACATTACATCCTGTCATGTTATCGTCTGCTAATCTGAAAGGTTACATGTGTGGTTTTTTTGTTTGTTTGATTTTTAGAGAGAGTGGAAGAGAGAGGGAAAGACAGAGAGAAACACTGATGTGAGAGAAACACATAAGATTGGTTGCCTCCTGCACCCACCCCGACCAGGGCCCGGGCCAGTGAGGAGCCTGCAACCAAGGTACATGCCCTTGACCGGAATCGAACTGGGGCTCTTTTAGTCTGTAGACCGATGCTCTACCCACTGAGCCAAATTGGTTGGGGCTATATGTATGTTTTTCTCCATTTAGTCATTTTTCCCTACCTTATTACTAAATAGTAATATATTTATATGATCATCTCAATGAAAATCATTTTTTAATTTTGATTGGAGTTTATACCCGGCACAAAAAAATTAGTGATGGAAGAAGACGTTGCTACATCCTGGCAGCCCTGCATCTCTCCTTTCTGGTTTCCTGTTGCCATGACATCTGGCCCTTCTTCGGTGCCCACTTCTATTCGCCCAGACTGACACAGGGCGCTTGGCCTGCACATAGAAATGACTCTTGGGCCACACCGCCTGTTGTGAGGTATCTCTTGGCTTGGAAAGAGCCACTTGTGGAAAAAATGTGAAAAATCCTAGATCCAGACAAAGATAAAACTCCCAGGATCCCAGAAAGTGCCTATAATATAAAAACTTTGCTTTGATATTTGTCAAGAAGAAAATAATCGCAAAAGAGATTGCCTTCGTTAACTGCATCTTCCTGCGCTGGAGGAGGAGCAGCTGGTCCTCTCGCGCAGGTCACTAATCCCCAATCCTGGGCATCCGCCGGGATTCAGCAGGGGAAATTCTATGCCTTTTGGTCACGGGGTGCGCCTTTAGAGACTTGGACATAGAATGTGTTTTAACAGAAGTTCCTTTAGCAGACTTTACCGCAAGACTGCTCTATAATTCTGGATCTCTAAAGCCAGGTATAAAACCTCAAAACCAGAGCTCTAAAATCTTTGGATAAGTGTAGGTGGAAATCTACTCCGGGCATATGACTCTGCCACCTGGATCTCCATTTCACCTGTGCTCTATCCATCACTAGTCTCTGCCACCTCCTGGAAATCTATACAATACCATTTATTTTTTATAAAAAAATATTATTTTATCTTATTTTTTATTTTCATTGAGTTCAGGGAGGAAGAGAGAGAGGGAAAAAGAAATAGAAACATCAATGATGAGAGAGAACCATTGATCAGTTGCCTCCTACACACACCCCCACACTGGGGATAGAGCCTGCAACCCGGGCATGTGCCCTGACCAGGAATCGACCTGTGACCTCCTGGTTCATGGGTTGATGCTCAACCACTGAGCCATGTTAGCTGGGCTATACAATACTATTTAGATGCTCACCCCACACCATACACCAAAAGGCAGCGTGTCTTGGGCCTCTTGATGCCACAGGTTGATGTTTTACCTGCTTCATCCCTCTTGTTAGTACCAGTAAGATGACAGCCTAGACTTTAGTGCAGCCAGGGGCTATGAAAAGTAGCTCTGTGTTACAAGAGCCTAGCACTTACGTTACTCTTTTCATTTCTAGAAAATGAAGTGCCGGCCCCAGCTCCAGCCCCACTCCCGGGAGGTACGTAAAGACACTCTCTCACCCATTTGGGCTGCAAATCCAGAATGTCTCTCCTGGCATGATTTGGCCTTCGGTGAAGCTGGGAGCTTTAACTCCTATGGCGAAGGTGGAAGGCCACAGTTGTCATGGGTTTATAATAATAACAATACATTGTGTCTGTATAACCCTCTCACGTTTATCTAATTTAGATGACACGTCATATACTTGTAAAACCCTTCGAATTATGCCAAAATTGTAGTTGTGCCAATGTTTTAGTGTTGTGGAGGCTGGGCCTCTGAGGGGCTGATGGCTTTGCAGTGCTTTCTCACTTAAGCTCAGAGCAAACAAAACACACATCTTTCTTGTGAGAGCGGAGAGCAGATTTCACCTCGGTTCTGGAAGATCAGCAGCCCCTTTGCAACTTGAACTCTGCCACCATCAAGCACCTCCAGAAACTCCTCGGCGAGTTTCTAGGAAGATTTGGTGGCCTGGGTCTCAACATCAGAACCAGTTTCTCTCGTTCTTAGTATCCCGTTGTCCACCAGGTGGCAACAAGAAAACAAGGAGTCAAGAGTTCCAGTGAACTTGGCAGGTAGAGGCAGTGCTCAGTGACACATACCAGGTAAAGCCAGCTTTTATACCTACATAGACCCAAGGAAGAGAACAGGATGGAAAGGACTGTCGGGCCTGAGTGGAATGTTAAACTCCCAGCATGGGTCTCCAGAATCATTTGTCTACCATGCAAATGACCCTCAAGATAGAGGCAATGTGCCCTCTCCTATGAAGACATCAAAGTGCCTTCCCGCATCTCTTCCTCCTTGAACAGGATGAGAAACTGGCATTCCTTAAAGAATTATTCACACAGACTGTAGATACAGAGAATAAACTGATGGTTGCCAGAGGCCTGGATGGAAAAGGTGAAGGGATTGAGTGGTACAGATTGGTAGTTATGAAATAATCGTGGAAATGTAAAGTACAGCACAGGGAATAGTCAATAACATTCTGATAGCTATGTGTGGTGCCAGGTAGGTAGTGGAAATATTAGAGGGAACACTTTGTAAAGTATAGGATTGTCTAACCACTATGCTTTACACAAAGTAATATTGAACGTAAATGGTAATTGAAAAATTTTTGAAAAAGAATTATTCACAGGGTATTCACCATGTGCCCAACTCTACCCTAACCCTTCGGAAGGATACACGGCTCTCTACCAGATTCTTATTGATAACACTGAACTGGATGCAGTGGAGAGTTCTTAGAAAACATTTCTGTGTATTCAGTGCGCTTAATGCGACATAGAAAATAAAACACAGACAGAGAACAACTCAATAAATATGTTGAAACATGAAACAAAACTCAAGGCAGTAGTGATTTAATGCATGTTACTTGAGTTGAGAGCGTGGTGTGAAGACAAGCGTGGGAGGACACTGTAGACCAGTCCAGCCTCGTCAAAAGCAGGAATTGAATAAGACCTTAGTTGCTAGTGATCTTTTTGCAATTAAATGTGTAAGGGGATTATGAAGTTCTTCCGCCCTGGAGATCATTTTCTGGAAGACAGTTTGAGAAATCTAACTGCTTACAGAAGCCCCTTTGTCCAGCTAAGAATACCAGACCACATGCCCCAAACCCTTCAGTAGTATAGAAGAGTATTGCTACATGTCAAAATGAGTGAAACAGGCTCAGTGCCATGAATTTAAACAGGGGTGAAATTAAGTTTAGTTTTCTTTCAACCAGTATAAATGTGTGACATTCTTCTTAGGAACTTCTCCTTTGGTATATTTCCTTCTTGCACATACAGAGTTATTTTTGCCAACATTGTGTACATTGAGAACCTACAGGCCATTGCAGACATAACCTTTCCTTCTGTTCTTCAGATCAGTAGCTGTCACTGGGTCACTATAAAGTTTCCTTTATTATGCCATATTTCATAGTCATTGCACAATACTGACTTCCTGTTGCTGAAACAAGTCTCCTATGAAACTCTGCTCAAAGTGTCTTTATTAGTTAACTAAGATTCAGATCTATATTCAATAAAAAAGAGAGAGAGTTCTTGCTTGAAAGAATTCCTTTCTTACATGTACCACAAGTCAGACACCATTTGAAGGTATCTAAACTAATGTGGTTTTGAACAGAGAGAAATGCCAAGTAGATGGTCTCCACTGATAAAATATGATTTTCCTGCTATCATATTGTACTATTGGCACTCAACTCAACCCAGAAGATTAATATTTGTCCCAAATTATTTTCTTTGAAACTATTGTACAATTATGGATTTTATACCCTGGCTATATTATATTATCTATATAATAAAAGCCTAAGCGAGTGTTATGGTGGAACGACCAGAATGACCGGTCACTATGATGCACACTGACCACCAGGGGGCAGATGCTCAACACAGGAGCTGCCCCCTGGTGGTCAGTGTGCTCCCACAGGGGGAGCACCACTCAGCCAGAAGCCGGGCTCCTGGCTGGCGAGCACAGTGGTGGTGGTGGGAGCCTCTCCCACCTTTGCGGCAGCTCTAAGGAGCAGTGAGCCAAGTGGTAAGGAGCAGCGAGCAGGCGGGTGGTAGGGAGCGAGGGGTCCCAGACTGCCAGAGGGCACAGGCCTGGCTCAGGGACCCCCCTCCCTCAAGTGTATGAATTTCTTGCACCGGGCCGCTAGTAGAATCATAATAGTGTAATATTATTTAGAAATAAAAACTATTAGAACCACTACATGGACCAAACATCCTTAAAAAGTCAGTAAGTCTCTTGTTGGGATCTACAAGGAATTGACCCACATTTATAAGCACCATGCGTTAACCAGTTGAACACTGGAGCATGATCGATGTTTTATATTCTTCCTTGCCAGCATGTTCTAACATGAACCAAGAGCTGAAAGTATTTTAACAAAATCTGTATTATGTTTCTACATTCACTTTTTCCAAAAGTGATCAGATTAATTACCTTTATAAACAGTTGAATGTAACTCTACATTAGACTCCCCAAATTCACCATTCCTGTACAGCATAATAAATGAATATTAGTATCATTTATGATCTGCCTGTTTTCATTTAACCCCCCGCCCCGTTGCCCATCACACAATAAAATACTTTCCTTAAGACACTTTAAAAGTATGCTTGTTGCCCTAGCCCAGTGGTCAGTAAACTGTGGCTTGTGAGCCACATGCGGCTCTTTGGCCCCTTGAGTATGGCTCTTCCACAAAATACCACGTGCTGGCACGCATGTACAGTGCGATTGAAACTTCGTGGCCCAAGCGCAGAAGTCGGTATTTTGTGGAAGAGCCACACTCAAGGGGCCAAAGAGCTGCATGTGGCTTGCGAGCCGCAGTTTGCTGACCACTGCCTTTGTCTCAGTGGGTAGAGCATCAGCTTGAGGACCAAAGGGTCCCAGGTTTGATTCCAGTTAAGGGCACGTACCTTGGTTGCTTTCACGTCAATGTTTCTCTCTGGCTTTCCCTCTCTCTTCCACTCTTTCTAAAAGATCAATGGAAAAATATCCTCTGGTGAGGATTAACAAACATAAACAAATAAATAAAACATATAAATAAATAATTTTTTTTAAATGTTGCTTGTATTTTCCACACAGAACCAAATAAAGAGAAGGAAGCCGGAACTGCACCAGCAAAAGGTGAGTGAAGGGAGGGAGAATGGGGCTGAATTCAATAAAATTAGAAGCAGAAAGAAGTCAGTAACAGTTGCCAGAGGGGTTCCATGGAATTTCTCTGCATTATCTTTCATCAGCCCGGTTAAGTGAGCCTTGTTTTCATCTTATCTGTACAGCCCAGTCAGTATAATGGCAAACGGTGCTTTGGTCCATTTTTATTACACACATTTCTAAAAGAAAAACAACAACGATAAAAAAATATATATCACAAGCACTTGTTGAGATGCCAGCAAGTTAATTGGTAGTTTCTAATTTCTAATGTGCATATGAAGGAAAAGGGGTGTCTGGTCTTCTTGGGATTACACCAATTTGGAAATTCATCTGGATTGCCCAGTTTTTCTTGAATTGAATGTTTTCATGTCACTGTGCTAAACTGTTCTAGGTTTCACTAGTAATTTTGAAGGCCAGCATCTCATTTTGTAACACTATGTATTCATGTAGATTTATATGATGACATAGAGATAGACAAGACACCTTTAAGCAAACATCACATTGCACCTTACTGATTTGGAAACTCATTTATTTCTGCAATATTATTGTTTTTTACTTTATATGTAGATAGTCTAGTTTTAAACAATGAGTAATCTTTATTACATGGACCATGAAATACAAATTCTTTTGTGTCCCTATGGAGGAAGTCATTGTCACTTCCGACCATCTGTCTTAAGTTAAGGAGTATTAGTTTTCTACTGAAAACAGTTTTCATGGAGGCAGATTTGACAATTCTGCTTTATATGTTTGTATCATGACTTATATATTCATTATTATTTATATAAGGAGTGGCATAGTTTAAATTTTGGAATAGCCAATTATTTCCTGACTACAATAAGACCTTTTTCTTTTCTTCTGGACACGACTCCACAAATGTTAAGTATCTTCGTTCTTACTATGTTATATTTCACTACCTAATTCCTATAATATTATTGTCTTCTATACCTGAGTAAAATACCTTTTTCTTTCTTTCAGTACATTGGACAACTTTTCTTCAGCTAACTTGAACTTAGCGCTCATAAATGAACACATAATGTTGTTAGTACACTCTCTTTGTCCTTGACCTTCGGTGGCTCCCGTGGATAGTAACATGAATATTAATCCTGGCTACATGAGACAGTCTGAAAGTTATTTGCTTATGGAATGCAGACAATGCAAACTCCTAGAACTCCTTCCATGAGATGGGTTCAAGGATGTTTGGACATCTGGCTGAAGTTATTGTAACATTATTCTCTACAAAGCTGATGGCATACACCTCTGTTTCCAAATTTGGAAAGATGTTTGAGCCAGGTTGTAAGGCTCAACCAACAGAGCAGATGATATAATCCCAGAGGGCAAGCTGTCAAAGTTTAAACAAAGCCTGTGCTTGACCCTTAATGTGAAAAGTCATCCAATTATATTTGTGTGTTTAAATGAGAAAATGACTTTCTGTATATTATGGTCAATCAACCAAGCAAGCAGTCAACCAATCAACAAAAACTCTTCTTTATGGAGAACACAGTTTGATGAAAGAGCGAGACCAGATGACTAGGGAGGGAATCCTGAAATTAGTAGCCTTCCCCCCCCGCCCGACATTTGCAGAAGTTAAGCAAGGCCATGGTCATATATAGTCACATGCCCAAATCCATAAACTGCCATGTATCTATTTTCTCTACATGCCTAGGAAGAAAATCAATTTAGGATAGAAGGTGACATCCCTAAATAAAGAAGGTAGGTAAATAAAAGTCGTTTCTAAATACACAAACCTTTCAACTATTACCCACTTTCATCAAGGACAGGAAAATTTCAAAGAAAATACTTAAGCAAAGAATAGACACAATAAACATTGCTGTCTGTATGGCTGTGGTTGAGAAAGAAGATGTGCATGAGCATAAGCAAGATTGACAAGTGCAACAGACCTCTCCTGCAGCATTGACTAGAATGTCCTTCCCTGCCCTTCACCTCCCCAACCCTCCGTCCATCTAATTGATTTTTAACCCTGCAGCTTGGTTTTACTCCTTTATATAGCTTTCTCCTGACTTAAATCTCCCTTCCTCCTTCTGACTTCTCTTGGACCTATTGCCTCTGTTGTTCAATCACTATTTTCTCCACTTCCTCACATATTAATGGTTCATTTATTTCCCTCACAGGTGTAAGCTCTTTGACAGTCAGGCACCATGTCTTACCACCTCTTTGGGCCCCTCATCTCATTTTTACTAGTTTCTGCCAGAGAGTCACACAAGGCAATCTCCTAATAAAGGAATGAACACTTGAATTTTCGTGCTGGCCTAGCTGCTGATCCCACAGACAATGGTAATCTAGATAGATTTTTATTTCTATTTGCTGGGCAGGATGATGAATACCCCATGCATACTCTTAATAATGAGGTTTAGAATGAGACAATGACGCTGTGCATTGAGTGCTCAGAACAGATAGATGATGTACAACCAACTCACTTAAAGCTATTGAAAATGGTCATGCCTAGATATTAGTACATTTTCACACTTAATTGGTCCCCTATCCAAGCAGTTGAAATATATCCAGTTGATAGCTCCAAGACTGCCTGCCAGGGTCCAACCCCAGCAGGTCCAGGGGTTCCCAAAGGCGTAGACGGAGTCAGCGAAGAAGGAAGGACACAGAGACAGTGTTCAGTTGATCAGCAGCCTAGCCAGGATCTCCAGCCAGGATCTCCAGCCAAGTTCTGGTCTGGATCTCCAGAGAGGTTCTGCTCTAGATCTCCAGCGAAGTTCTGGTTAGGATCTCCAGCCAGGTTCTGTGTCCATGTTCTCTTGCTAGGTTCTCCAGCCAGGTTCTGTCCAGGTTCTCCAGCCAGGTTCAGTCACCAGGTTCTAGTCAGGTTCTCTTGCCAATTTCTGTAGTCAGGTTCAGTCCAGGATCTTTTGCCATGTTCTGTCGCTAGGTTCTGTGTCTAGGTTCTGTGCCTCTTGGTTCTGTCTTCTAAGTTCTGTCTCTCGCTGTCTTGTTACATCTATATTTATACCAGTTGATTCAATCCTATCAATCTCTATTACAAAGATTAGGGCGTTTCTTATCTCCATTCCAGGGAGTAAAGATTATGTAGCTTAAGCATGATTGTTCGTAGTTAAAGTGATTAATTACCTGCCTGGCACTTAGTTGAGGGGTTTTATTCCCTCCCTAACTTCAGGGGAAAATCCCTACCTGGGGAAACAACCTTTCTCAGAGAGGAGACCTTGGTTAAAACACATAGTGCCAAGAGGTGAGCAAACATTTTAAGAACAGTATGCCATATATGCCAGGTCCTTTGAAACAGCAAGGATGGACCGTCTCCCGGCAACTGCCACTGTTAAGAACATCATTCATACCAATGCAGCCTTAATATCCCAGATTGCCTGAACTGTTATGCAATAGCCCGGAAATGTTCTGAACCTTTTTATGTAGCTGCAGAATATTGTCTGGTTCTGATATCAATCTTACAAGTAATGCTTGTGGGTAGATGTGCCAACTTTTCATGTTTGCCAAGAGTCTCTGTTTGGGAAACAGCTGATTTCCCAGAACAGGGTTTCACTAGTTGTTGATTTGCTTGTTTGCCTCTCGACTTTTCCATCCAGCTATCCTGTTTCTTAATACTGCCCACTTGTCCTGGAATTGAGACAGTAGAGATGGCAATTTGAAAAAAAAAAATGTGTTTAACTAAACAGCAATACCAGAATTTACATGTGTAAATCCCTTTAAATCACCGGGAGGCATTGTCCTTATAAAAATAAAGCTACCGTGACTTAGAATTCTTCCATGTATTCTGAAAGAATATGACAGGTGGCAAAAAAAAAAAAACACAAAAAAACGGTAAAGTACATATTCTCTTTTTATACCGTCAGTGGGCCAGAGAACTGTCTTTTAGTCTAACGTTCATTTATTCAGCAAGTGTTCAGAGGCAGCTGCATACCAGGCCAGAGTCTAGTGCTGGGTCCTGCCCTCCTGGAGCTGACTTGGGAGCTTTAGAGGAGAGAATGACCATCGACAGAATTCAGTGCATTTCAGCTTTGAAAGCAGACAGTTGCCATGGAGGGCCATGTGTAAAGAAGAATGTAGGTGTTTAAATGGGATTATACTTTTTTATGGTCAACCAACATTGAATCCATGAACATAAAGTAATGAGACTGACTCTCTTCTGTGCCTCAACAATGGGTTCTGTGGCAAGTGTCAAAACTGGTTGGCCCTGTGGGTGGTTGCAAATGTGCCAGCAGCATTAGAATCAGAGATTACTTTGATGGTCAGTACTCATTTTAATGCCCAAGTTCTGATATATATTTTTTAATTTTAGTTTTTGCATCTTATTAATGTATAATCTGTATATTTTTTGGTAAGCCTAATTGGAATAGTTACTGCCTTTTGATAATCATGGCAAGAAAAGTAAAATCTTTCTTTTCCCAGTCATTACAAATAACTTTACCACATAAACTATTGTAAATGAACCCTGTGCATATTAAAGAGCTCACAGAACTTGAGTTGAAGCCTCTTTCTTTGGGAATGAGAGTGATTGGCAGAGGAGGAAGTGACTCAACAGAAGTTCCAGAAAATTTCTCCTAAATAATATGATCCTTTTAATTTAAAAAATGATTATATTTTTCTTAATTTAGGTCTCTTTACATCTGCAATAACACGATCTTCATGCTTCTTACTAGCATGCTAAAATTTTTTGTGTAATTTTACCTTTAGGTATCAGACAGCCATCTACTAAAATGTCTCTGTGCTTTATGTGTCTTCTAACTACATATTTCTTTGTGAAGAAGTTTGTTAAAAATTAATCTCACCATGGTTTTCTCTTAAAATATATATATTTGTTGATTTTAGAGAGAGGAAGGAGAAGGATAGAGAGAAACATTGATCAGCTGCTTCCTGCACGCCCCCTACTGGGGATCGAGCCTGCAACCCAGGCATATGCCCTGACTGAGAATTGAACTGGTGACCTCTTGATTCACTTGTATTTTAATTTTATAGGCTTTTTGGTCTTTATTCTAAAATCTCAACAATGATCTCAAGTTTGTTTTACATAAAAAATTAATGTAGAGAGGCAATTTAAATCAACCATAGGTAGAAGTTATTTTATGCTTAAGAGAGTGTGGAGAATTATAAGAATGTAAATATCCTATTATCAGTGGAAGTCTCTCCCTCAAATTTCAAATTTCATGCATATCCTCCAAAACTCCCATGTAATATGAGACTAAATTCTTTCTCTCCTTTCCAGACATTCTTCTTTGGGAATTTCAGTTGCTTAAAGAATCATTTTTACGGTTTTACAAATGCTATTTTCCCATGACTTGAAGGCAAATAAAATTCTGCTTTGGTGAATTTCCCTTCAGTGTAGCTAGGGAAGCTAGCGCAGCTGCTCTAGGTCCATGTCTTCATGTTGCTGTATCATAAAGGACCAAAAACAGATGCGTATGTTTTCATCATCATTGTAGTCACTTTTTAAATAGAAAAACAAAGAGAGAAACGGTGACTTAAATTGTATATTTTTTTGCTTTGTTTTCTTTGAAAATGTTCTTTGTATGATGCCATACCTTTCCCATGTGTGTTGTTGAATTAGGCACAACCCAAAAGATTTGGATATTCAATTCCCCTTCTAGCAGTAGAACCTGTTTTTCCATGGTAACCAGATTTAACCAGGCAACTTTTTAAGAATTTTAGGTCAGGATCCCTAAATCCTAGCTACATTTCCTAATCTAAAGGAATGTCAGGACCAAAGTTACATTTATTTATTTATTTATTTATTTATTTATTTATTTATTTATTTATTTATATTTTTAAATTGATTTCAGAGAGGAAAGGAGAGGGAGAGGGAGATAGAAGCATCAATGATGAGAGAGAATCACCAATCTGCTGCCTCCTGCACATCCCCCTACTGGGGATTAAGCTGCAACCCGGGCATGTACCCTGGCCGGGAATTGAACTGCGACCTCATGGGTCATAAGTCAATGCTCAACCACTGAGCCATCCTGGCTGGACCAAAACTACTTTTCAAAGAAGGGAAACAGTCAACTTGTCCATTATATTTTCTAGCACTTTAGTAAATTTGGAAATGTATGTATAAGAAATCAAAAATTGTCAATTGAGCAGAAATTGCTGTTTGGAAGTAATATTGGATCGTCTAGAATTCTGTGGTCTGCAAACCGCGGCTAGCGAGCCACATGCAGCTCTTTGGCCCCTTCAGTGTGGCTCTTCCACAAAATACCATATGCGGGCGCTCACATACAGTGCAACTGACTCTTGTGGCAGATGCACAGAAGTAGGTATTTTGTGGAAGAGCCACACTCAAGGGGCCAAAGAGCCACATGTGGCTCGCGAGCCGTGGTTTGTCGAGCCGCAGTTTGCCGACCACTGGTCTAGATCATTTCATGACACTCTGAAGCTTTGATTTAATATGTGGTGTCTTAATAGTCTAAACTAATTGTGTATGCCCATCCAAATAGTGTTAATATTTAGTTGACATCAAAACTATTCATTCATCAATATTTTGCTTATCTCTTCATTTTAGTTTTATGAAAGTATGTGAATATTCTTCTTAATCATTTAGCATCCCAAACAATTAACTCAAGGATTCATTATACCCTGTGCACAAAGCAAACAAATACCCACAAAACCTATTTAAAATGAAGTGTTCATTTGACTCAAAATGGTTCTAATTTCTATATAATAAAGGAAGTTCCTTTCTAGGACTTGGTTGAGTTTGAAAACTTATTTTTTCAATAATTTTTACAGGACTTTAAATCAAGATTCTTTAAGTAGTTCAGTAAATAAAAGTCTTCAAATAAGTTATAAGAATAAAATATTAATATTGAATTAAATTTATGGAAAATATTTTTAAATTACCAGGTATTTCATTTTTATGTAAAATTTTAATTATCTAAGACTTCTGAACTGTAGAATTCTGCTGATAGCTCAGACATGCCTATACTTCCCCAAATGTACCATTTTGTGGAATGTTCATGGATATTCCAGAAGGAGTCAAACGAGAACTAGTTTCGGAAATATTAACTGCTATATCATTTCTTGTCTCCACCCCGACTGCTGGAGCATATTAGCACACTGACAGCTTTGAGATGTCCGTAATAAAAGCACACACACAGTACAATAGCATGGAAGTATTTAACTTTATTTAGCCTAACATCTTCCAAGCTTCTCTGACCACAGAAAGCTTCCTCTGAAGATCCTGAATCTCACAGTATCCAGCAAGTCACCTCGTGCGTTCTGAAGATATAACATTAAGGTTCCTGAATATTATTATCCTAGTTATTTTGTAAAAAGTAATAATATATATCTTTGTTTGACAGTCTTAGAAATTTCAGGCTAATAAATACTATTACTGTAAATATGCTAATAAATTATACAGAAATGTGCTATTTTATCTTAAGGAATCTTTTTTTTTAAATATATTTTATTGATTTTTTACAGAGAGAAAGGGAGAAGGATAGAGTTAGAAACATCGATGAGAGAGAAACATCTATCAGCTGCCTCCTGCACACTCCCCACTGGGGATGTGCCCGCAGCCAAGGTACATGCCCTTGACCGGAATCGAATCTGGGACCCTTCAATCCGCAGGCCGATGCTCTATCCACTGAGCCAAACCGGTTAGGGCTCTCAAGGAATCTTTTAAGGCACTTTATAATTAGCAGTCATGTGCATGCATTTGCTGAATCCTATTTTATTTTATTATTTTGTTTAACTATATTTTTATTGATTTCAGAGAGGAAGGAAGAGAGAGAGAAACATTGATGAAGAGAGAATCATTGACCGGCTGCCTCCTCCAAGTCCCACACTGGGGATCGAGCCCATAACCTGGGCATGTGCCCTGACTGGGAATTGAACCATGACCGTCTGATTCATAGATCAATGCTCAACCACGGAACCACGCCAGCCAGCCAATATTTTTAAAATTATACAGCATTGACCAACACTAATATAATCTTGAGAAAGTTCTTATAAAATTTCTAAAATAATTATTGGTGAAGTTAATAAGTATGACAGATTGATTTATATTAGTTAATGTTGACTTTTGTTTTCTGTAGAAGGGAAATTAATCATGAGGTTTCAGGGTGGGGGGAGTATGTTTTTAAACAATACACATATGCTTTGATGTCTGTGTCCAAATGATCATGGTGCATGAATTATGCCTCTCATTGATGTTAGCTACAAAATGAGAACTCGAAAATCACCTCCGTTGTGGATTTCATCAAGATTAAAAATGTTAGTATCCTAACCTACAATCACATAAAACGCTTGCATAGAGTTCCAATTTTTAATTTACACTTTCTTTGAATTATCTTACTCTCTTACCCTTTTATTTATTTTTCTCTTTTGCCCAAAACACTCAAATTTAATCTTTCAGGTGCCAAGTCTTCTAAGGCTTACTCATCAGTTCAAAGTGTTTCGTGTAGTTTCTCCTCCTCTTTTTCAGATTTCTCTCTCCTCAGGATACTTGGGATGATGTCCTTTTCTCCCTGACTTTGTGTGCCTATTTCTTGTTTCAGATGAAGAGGAAGCCTCCCCATCTTTTGTCCTGCCTCCAGGTTAGGATGATCCCAACCCCCTCTTTCCCCCACTTTGTAATTTATTATTAACTTGCAGTAAAGGAAAAGAAAAGACAGAACACCTTGATGAGACAAGGTACAGAGCAGGACGTGTCAGAGCTAAGAGGAAAAACGATGGCTTTAATGGCAATTTTGTATTTTTTTTTAACATGAGAACATTTTTAAAAAGAGTCTTCCTTTGTGAAATAAATGAGATGCATAAATCTTGGATACAAATTTTAGGGGCAAAAATATTTGTCTTTCATTTGTTTGTTTTTTTAAATATTATTATTGGTTTTAGAGACAAAGGGAGAGGGAGAGAGAGAGAGAAACATCAATGATGAGAGAGAATCATTGATTGGCTGCCTCCAATCAATGCACACCACCTACTGGGGATCGAGCCCACAACCCCAACATGTGCCCTGACCCAGAATTGAACTGTGACCTCCTGTTTCATAGGTCGAGGCTCAACCACTGAACCATGCCAGCTGGGCAATCTTATTGTTTTTTATTTTGTTTTTGTTAATTCTTTTTTTTTATTTCAGAGAGAAAAAGAAAGGGAGAGGGAAAGAGACTGAAACATCAATGATGAGATAGAATCATTGATTGACTACCCCCTGCACGCCCCCTACTGGGGATCGAGCCCACAACCCAGGCATGTGCCCTTGACTGGAATCGAACTTCAGTCCACAGGCCAATGCTCTATCCACTGAGCCAAACCGGCTAGGACTCACTGTTTTTTAAATAAGACATCTTTTTAGAGATGCTTTCATAGTTGAAGCTCTGCTGATTTTCCATCCAAGCCAACTTCTAGTTTTTTTCTCCCTATTATCAGAAGAGGGTTTGGGGGACCCAAGGAGGTTGCAGTCAGCACTTCATTGGCACCCCTTTCCTCTTGCATCATCCAGATCACGCTTTCCTTTCAGGTTTGGGTAGTCGGGCCCTGGAGAGAAAAGATTCAGGTGAGCAGATGCCTGGAACAATCACTAATGACCTCATTTCTTGAAGCTGCATTGATTCTAATCTTTGTTTTATTCAGTTTGAAGCTCTGATAGCCATCTTTCATTACATTACATTTCTTACAAGAAAACTAATGTATTGAGAAACAATTAATTTTGCATGATACATATACACAAATTCAGGAATCTACCTATGTACACCACAGGTTGTTTTTTTATTATTATTATAACTATCATTTAACAAATACAGAGAGATTAAGAAACTTTTAATATCTCCACTTGGAGAGTGCTGAAGTTAGATAATAATTCACATTTTTATAGAACTTTACATATAGTTGATAAAACACCTACAGATGCATCCTGCCAGCTGTGCTACAATTCACTCATTCAATAAATTTGTGTTGAATGCCTACTATGATCCCACTATAGGCTTCTTAAGGGCCAAGCATTTGCAGGTATAGAAATGAAAAAAAAAATAGTAAAATTTCTGCCTCGTGTTCTAAATGTGAATGATCACTATTCACTATTATTATTAATATCACAGACACACAACATAAATTTTTAACAACAACTTTGTTATTAAAAATCATGTAATCATGTGACTCATTGCATAACTTCATTGTGAAAATGATGGTCTCTGTGGATAGAAATACTGAGCATGATTGACACATGAAAACTAAAATAACTAAAATCTACATTCCCTTCTTTTCAAGAAGCATTAACAGGTAAAGTTGGTAACCCAAGCTTTTTTTTCCAGCTATTTAAGCAGCTGAAACTGAACTTCTCTGAATTCAGCTCTCAGAGGCAGAGGGAATATCTACATTCTCTCCCCTACCCTCCTCATTGGAGTTGACTGATGATTGATCCAAGCTAAGAACCTGGAGTGCAACTAGAAAATGCAAAATAAACTTCATTTCCAGGTTCTCTCTCTTCATGGGAAAGCCTCAAAGAGTTTTTTCTTTCTGTTTTTCTGAGCTCTCCTCCACCACCCACTCAGGATGCTCCTAATATACTTGAAACTTGTACCTGCAGGTCATGATCTGTTAATTGTCCAACTATGGCCACATCTGTATGATCCTTATAAAACTGTCTAATTATACAATAGCAAGACTTTTAGAAATACCAGGCCAGACTTGGTTGTCTCACCCTTCCCAATTGACCTGCAAACTGACCCATCAAACTCTTTTGTTATATGTGTATAGCCCCATAGTCAGTTACCTGCAAAAATAGCGAGAGTACTGATTTAATATACTTCTTTCTCATCATTATTTATTTGTTAGGGGTCAGGCAGGATGGGAAAAGAAAGGAACCATGGCTTCCAAGAAAGACAGAATAATACCCTACTTGAAAAATGTTAGTTTCTAGGAATTAGAAAATGTTCCTTTATCCCATCATGGAAGAAACATCCATGTAAGAATGGGAACCTGTCACTCTCTACTGATGACTGCAAGGTGATGGATGGAAAGAGTGGTGTTACATTTATCCAGGTTGACTAGACAAAGTCAAGCTTCCGCGATGATGAGAACGACAAACCCAGGTAAGTCTACCTCTGAAGAACCTGGCCCTGAAATGATCTTTTTCCTCCTTTCTGCTCATTAGAATGGTCTCTTGGAGAATCACCTGCCACAGAGGATCATGACAAGCAGGATGCCAATTCTCAGCTGTCCATCCTGTTCGTGGAAAAGCCTCAAACAGGAACAGTGAAAGTTGGTGAGTGCCAAGCATAAATCCTGCTTTAAAAAAATGCAGGTGAAATTCACATAACAAAAAATCAACCATTGTAAAGTGAACAACCAATGGCTATTAGTACACTCAATGTACGACCACTACCTCTATCTAGTTCCAAAACTTTTCGTCATTCCAAACAGAAACCTTGTACCCCCATTATGCAGTTACTCCCCATTCTCCCTCCCCTCAGCCTCTGACAACCTCTAATCTCCTTTGTCTCTGTAAATTTTCCTATTCTGGGTATTTCATATAAATGGAATCACACAATATGTGACCTTTAGTGACTGGATCTATCCATGCTGTAGCATAAATCAGTACTTCTTTTCCTTTTTATGGCTGAACTAGAGGCCTAGTGCATGAAATTCGTGCATGGACCGGGGGGGGGGCGGGGGGCGGGGGGGGGAGGGGTGTCCCTTAGCCCAGCCTGCACCCTCTTGCAATCCTGGACCCCTTGGGGGATGTCTGGCAGTCGGACATCCCTCTCGCAATCAAGGACCACTGGCTCCTAACCGCTCACCTGCCTACCTGCCTGATCACCCCCAACCCCTCTGCCTGCCTGATCACCCCTAGCTGCTCCCCTACTGACCTAATCACCCCTAACTGCTCCCCTGCTGGCCTGATCGTCCCTAACTGCCTCTGCCTTGCCCCGCACCCATGACCCAGAATTCCCTCCTCTGGCTGGTCGCAGGCACCCAGGACCCGAGCTTCCCTCCCTCTGGCCGGCCACAGGCACCCAGGACCCAGGCCAGCTTCACCCAGGTTGGCCACAGCCACAGGCACCTGGGACTGCAGGGCGGGTGGCTTGTCCCTCTCCCAGGCTGCAGGTGCAAGCACAGCCACTGGTGCCCAGGACCACAGGGCGGGCGGCTTGTACCTCTCCTGGGCTGCAGCCCCAGCCACTGACTGGCACCCAGGACTGTAGGGCAGGCAGCTTGTCCCTTGCCTGGGCCGCAGCCTGACTGGTCCCCATTCCTCTCTTTCAAGCTCATTTGTGCCTGGTTGGTCCCCATTCCTCTCTTGCAAGCTCATTTGTGCCTGGCTGGTCCCTATTCTCTCCTCAGTGTTGAGTGTCTGAGCCATTAAGGCGTAATGGCATGAGGGTGTGATGACCATTTGCATATTAGCTCTTTATTATATAGGATAGTATCCCATTGTATTTCTATATTAAATCCTTGAAAAGGTGAGTTATCATTTCAGTACACTTTAGTATGTAGGAGTTGAGTGGCTGGAGCCTGGAGCCTGGAGCCTGGAGCCTGGAGCCAGGTGGGATACAAATAGATTTCTTCATTTGTCAAGTGGGGATAATACCACCTGTGAAGTACTTTGAATAATGCCTGGCATATCTTATATCTCTGAGCCAGTGTTTGCTGTCATTACAACACGCCTCATTCTGTAAAATGATTACACTGTCAGGATGTATAGTATCTCAGAGGAAGCTAGTCAAACAGATGATTCAACTTTGGAGATACTCATTAAAGAATACTGATTGTGCACCTGTTAAAACACTAGTCTGAACTCTATAACATGTGAGCACTCAGAACTTTCAGTTTTAACAGGATGAGCAGAAAACAACAAATTAAACAAATAGATAATCACAAAAACCAAGTACCATGAAGGAAATAAGCAGGGTGGTGAGTTAACAACTTGGGGTCCAGGAATTTTTAACTAAGTAAATTTTTATAAGAAATATACTGGGCCCTGACCAGTTTGGCTCAGTGGATAGTGAGTCGGCCTGCAGATTGAAAGGTCCCAAGTTCGATTCCAGTCAAGGGCATGTACCTTGGTTACGGGCACATCCCCAGGGGGTGGTGTGCAGGAGGCAGCTGGTCGATGTTTCTCTCTCATCAATGTTTCTAACTCTCTATCCCTCTCCCTCTCTGTAAAAAAATCAATAAAATATATTTTAAAAAAAGAAATATACTTGGATCAGAACTAGTCTTTGACACTTACCTAATAGTATGCATATGAGCCTATGGTTGCCTATATTCTTTCAGGTCAGAAATATAGAAGCACACTGCATGTAAATGGAAATGTCAGCTCCCCTCATGTTTCCAGAAGACATCAAAATGCTGGGCTGGCCCTGGAGCTAGAGTTTTCATGTACTAAGGGCCTTATCAGTAATCTGTCAATTCAAACAGATAGGAAAGTTTATTTAAAAAAGAGCAGCTTCATATAATCATATTCCCATAATTCCAGACTTCCCATTACTTGCTTAATAAAAAATATTTGAAAAAATTTATACACTATAATAATAAAAACATAATATGCTAATTAGACCTGACAGCAAAACGACCTTCCGGACGACATTCCAAATGAAGCCGCAGTGGTGGCGGCCAAGGCAGAGGTGGTTAGGGGTGATCAGGCAGGCAGGTGAGTGTTAGGGGCGATCAGGCAGGCGAGTGTTTAGGGGCAATGAGGCAGGCAGGCAGAGTGGTTAGGGGCAATCAGTCAGGCAGGTGAGCAGTTAGGGGCAATGAGGCAGGCAGGCAGAGTGGTTAGGAGCCAGCGGTCCCAGATTGCGAGAGGGATATCCAGACATCCCAAGGGAGCCAGGATTGCAAAAGGGTGCAGGCTGGACTGAGGGACACCCCCCCAACCCTCCGTGCATGAATTTTGTGCATCGGGCCTCTAGTATATATAGATTTGTATACATACATTTGTGAATTTTTCACCATTTTTATTTCATATATAGAATATCAACCCCCCCAAATTATTTCTATTAATTAACCCATTGCTCCTTTTTTGTTCCATAAACCTCAAACACAGGGTAAGTTGGAGAATCTAAAGACCTTATAAGGTTCTTGTAAAATAATCAGGGCCATTTCATTGCACAATTCTAGGGGCACCAGTCTCATCACAGTGTATGCAATGCAGTCCCATATAACTCTTTCCAGTTGAGAGTAAAACAAATGACAGTTTTTTAAAATGTCATTTAAAAATGACAGTTTTATTGATTTCAGAGAGAGGAAAACATCAATTGGCTGCCTTCTGCATGATCCCCACTGAGGATCGAGCCCCAAACTCAGGCATGTGTCCTGATGGGGAATGGAACTAGTGACCTCCTGGTGCACAGGACAATGTTTAATCAACTGAGAGCCGCACTGGCTGGGCCAAATGACAATTTCTAAACCAGTCTGAATCACTTGTGCTTTTTCTAGGTGAAAATATCACCTTTATAGCCAAGGTCAAAGCTGAAGATCTTCTTAGAAAACCCACTGTCAAATGGTTTAAAGGGAAATGGATGGACTTGGCCAGCAAAGCTGGGAAGCACCTTCAGCTGAAGGAAACCTTCGAAAGGCACTCTCGGGTATGGCCCTGAACTCCTGGCATAGGGGCCTGGCTAGCTCATCCCTTCAGGGTGGATAAAAGGTCATTTTTATGTTCAGCTTTGAGAAATTTCAGTCCCATAAAATTCTCTGGAGTTAGTGTTCCTAGCGTCTACCCTTAGCACACTTGCCCTGCTGTGCCCAGAGGCGGTGGAGCACAGGACCCCTCCTCTATTGAGAGTATTGTCATAGAATCCACAGATACAGACACATCTTTAAGACAGTGCTACAGGGTTGGGGGAAAAACTGAAATGTGATGGCATCTTTCTGCCAGCTAGGACTGACATGTGTCGGATGCATTTCATTGCAGATATATACATTCGAGATGCAGATCATCAAGGCCAAAGAGAACTATGCAGGAAACTACAGATGTGAGGTCAGCTATAAGGATAAGTTTGACAGCTGTTCCTTCGATCTTGAAGTGCGCGGTAAGAGAGCCTTCTTGTCTGGATAAATGTGATTTTATTTTATTTTATTTTTTTTGATGGGGCATGAGGGGATGGAAGAGAAGGCCATTTAATACTATGTTATTTTGAAAATAAAGTTTCCTTTAAAACAGTGTGTGTTTCTGGTTGTGATGGTCCCAGCAAGCCTGCTGAATTAAATAGTTATGAGGTAATTTATAAGGGGAAGTCGGGGATATTATTGCTGAGCATCTCTTGTTCATGCTATCTATATCCCTCCAATTTCCCAAATAAGGGCTGATGCTGTATTAAATGTACAGGTTTCATTGGGTCCACCCCCACTCAGGTTTGAGGGTAAGTTAATATGGCACATGGATATTAGAATATCCAGGTGGAAGGGAGGATTTCTCTTATAAGGACAGAGATGAGATATGGAAGTTCTTCATTTGTATGTTCTGTGTACTGCTCAGAGCAGATTTAATAGGGATAAATGTAAAGGTGTACAGGTAGTGTGGGGTGGGAACAACTTCTCTGAGTACACAAAGGGAAAGTTGACTTGGCAGTAAAGATGATTCCATAAACTTAAGATGACTCCAAAGTGTGATGTCGCTACCAAAGACAAAGCTGGCATAATTTAAAACTAGGCCATTAGACACGGCATAGAATCTAGGTTTAGAAAATGGCACCCCACTCTGCAGCATGCTAGCTGATCCACATCTGGAGTAATGTCTTGAGCCCTGGGCACTATGCTCCACCAGGATCCCTTCTGGAGGAGGGTAGCCAGGGGATGGAGAATCCAGAAATCGTGCTCTATTCAGTGTGGATGGAGGAGGTCCTGCTTATACGATTCATTGTAAATAGAGGAAGGGCCATCACACCGAAGGACAAGGCCATTTTCCATGTACTCGAGAAGTGTTTAGGCAGATTAGAATCAAAAGGTGGAAATTAGGAGACAGTGAATTTTGTCTTAACATTAGAGTGAGCTCTTTCGATAAAGCTTTGTAGACACAACAGCAGGTTGTGAGAAGCCCATTCCAAAAGATGTCAAGCAGAGGCTTCGTGATCTGGGGTGGAGGTGTTGTCAAGATTTATGTATTAAGTGGCAACCTGGTTCTGATCCAACCCCATTGGGATTATAGAATCTTGCCAGGCATCTCTGAGAATCACCTGAAGGACTTCTTAAGAATTTTGATATCTGGGTACTATCTCTGATCAGGTGAATCAAAATCTCCAGCAGGGAGATCAAGAAGCTGGCACTGTTTGAAGCTCTTCAGGAGATCCTAGTCAGCAGGCAGGCGGAATGACATGGGCTGCGGTAGCATTGATTCTGTGTGAGGGAGCATAGTTTATGCTGTCTCGGCAGCATTCCAGGAGGAGCCATGCCCCTTCACCTGGCCTTCCTTCCTTCTGAAGAATCCCCACAGCCTGGAAAGGAACTGAACACAAAACTGCCTTCTTAATGGTGTTTGTTTTTTTGTTTTTCTTTCCTTTTAAAGAATCTACTGGGAGTACTCCAAACATTGACATCAGATCTGCTTTCAAGAGAAGGTAACTTCAAAAGGGACTCAACGTAGCTTTTGTACAACATGAAAGTGGAGGATTTTTAAAAAACACTTTCTCTTCCTCCACCCTCTATAATTTCGAATGAGAATTTTTTTTTCACTATAGTTAAACATATCATATATTCAAAAGTTAGTGTTCTAGAAAAACCCTGGGCTTAAGGCCAAATCAAGTATATATTGATTATGCTTTAAAAAAAAAAAATCCTCACCCCAAGACACATTTATCGATTTTAGAGAGACGTACACAGAGAGAAACATTGATGTGAGAGAGAAACATCGATTGGTTGCCACTCATATGCATCCTATCCAGGGACTGAACCCGCAAACTAGGTAATGGGCCAAGACTGGGAATCCAGCCCATGACCCTTCAGTGTATGGGGTCAACACTCCAACCAACTGAGCCACACAGGCCAGGGCTTATGGATCATTCTTAAGAATATTCTCGTTAATAGTGAAGCTCCCATTTTGGCAGGTTTCACAGTTGCCTTATAAAAACACACTTTCAATCTATTCTTATGTGCCCTCTTCCTTAATTGCATTATTTCCCACCAAGTGGCCAAAAAAGATAAATTTATAAGGATACACATCTTATGTAGAACCAGTTAAGTAATGTCAGAAAGCTTATATTGCTTTTCATCTAGAAATCACTTACGGAACTATTAAAGAACTTTTGAAAACACATTTTTGGACTTCAATTCGTATGACTTATATGTTATACACAGTTCTGAAACCCGCGGACTCCCCTTAGGAACCATAGCTAACATTTGTAAAGAGCAGGAAACAAAATCTTTATTAAAAAATTAAACATGCAAGTGAGTATATAGTGCCATTTAAGTGTAAGCTCCATAGCTTCTATTTAGAGTTTATAAGAAATCAAAGATGGTTGCATGTCTACTTTAAGATGCATTTCTCTATAGAAAAGCACTTTAAAAAAATCCTGTAGAAGGCTCATCAACATTTCAAAGGCAAATTTTTGAAAAATTCATTTTAAAAGAAAATGAAAAGCTTATACGTATTTCCCTTTAAAACAGAAAGAAATGCAACTTTTTTAAAAAATATATTTTATTGATTTTTCACAGAGAGGAAGGGAGAGAGATAGAGAGCTAGAAACATCGATGAGAGAGAAACATCGATCAGCTGCCTCCTGCACACCTCCCACTGGGGATGTGCCCGCAACCCAGGTACATGCCCTTGACCGGAATCGAATCCGGGACCCCTCAGTCCGCAGGCCGATGCTCTATCCACTGAGCCAAACCGGTTTCGGCAGAAATGCAACTTTTATTTATTTTTTTAATTTTAATTTTTTTTAAATCCTCACACAAGGATATTTTTCCATTGATTCTTAGAGAAAGTGGAAGAGAGAGGGAAAGAAAGAGCGAAACATTGATGTGAGAGAAGCATCAGTTGCCTCCTGCACACACCCGGACCAGGGCCCGGGCTGGGTAGGAGCCTGCAACCAAGGTACAGAACAGAACCCGAGACCTTTTGGTCCTCAGGCTGATGCTCCATGCATTGAGCCAAACTGGCTAGGGCAGGAATGTATCTTTTAAAAAGCTTCACACTAGCTCCATTCTTATGTTATGTCGGTATCACATTATCTGATTCATCTATTGATGGACACAAAGAGGTTACCTTTGAATATAAGCTTTGCACTTATATATTTGACACTGGTACACTTCGTCCTCCAAGCCAATCTCTGTTTGACACAAGTGACAGAGATCAGCAAAAGTCCTTTGCTTTTCACACGGGTATGTTTCCAGACCCTCCCAACTTGCAAAAACAAAGTACTTTGTGTTGTTTGGCTTCATTGCATTTGTGTTACTCCATTTTAACACAAATCTAAGCCGTTTTATATATGCAATCTACAAAACTGTGTCTCTTCATGTTTACTTTTCCACAAGTTACATACTCTAAAAAGTTTTCAATGTCACTTGTGTGAAAAGGAATAGTTTGTGTTGATTTAGTCCCAGGACTTGTGTGCTGGTACAAAATTGCATATACATTATACATAGAGTGTTTGGGGGAAACTGTTGTGTATGTGTCTCAGCACTAAACCCAGATTTGCTTTTCTTTCATTAATGACAGTGGAGAAGGTCAAGAGGATGCAGGGGAACTTGACTTTAGTGGTCTCCTGAAACGTAGGTGAGAACCAAGTGATGGAGTGAGGAGCTGTGGCCTGGAAATTTTTAGATACCCACTCAGAGAAGTCAAGTTTAAAGTAGATGTGTTTCAAACAATTTCTTATTTCTTAAAACGTGTTTTGCTTATAGAACATAACAGAGTCAACTAAGAAAGAGACAGAGAAACAGCTGCATACTAATCTGTTCAAGGTTTTAGCATACTAATCTAAGGTTTTAGCTGATGCTGTTATATTTTCTTCTTATATGTTTTATGAGTCTTTGCATATTTTCTTAGTCAGGGATGAAGAGATTGAAAACTGAGACAGAAGACTTAAATACCTAAAAACCTCTAATTTCTCTCATTTCAACCATGATTCCCTATGATGCCGGAATAAAGCTTCCAATCTCCTGCCTTTGATATTTGACTAAAAAATCAATTTCACAATTTTGGTAGAAGTCTATGCAGGTGTGTGTGTGTGTATATATATATAATATACACATATATATAATATACACATATGTATATAAAATACATATATATTTTGAAAGCACACCTACTTTAATATAGCATTTATGATTTACTGTATTTCATCAAACCTAAGACACCATCCATTTTAAGATATACCTGTATTTTATAAATCACTGAGCAAAAAAATTGCTCCTAATAGTTTAGTATGACATATTTTTGATTATAAGATACATCTTTCTTTCAGAGATGTTTAAAATGTCAAAAAAATGTCCATTTAAAAAGAAATAAAATCTGGTAGTAAAATAGAAATAAATATTTAGCATTATCACACCCTGTTAACATTTTCGCTCTTATAATAAAATTTGTACAACTTTATTATGGATGTATAGCATATAATCATTTTATATGATTTCTGTCTATACAGTTGCATATATAATCATATCATATGCAATATTATATTTGTTATATATAAAGTTAAACATATCCAGATATTTAGTGAAGAAACAAGAAGAAATTGATTGTGTTTATTTACTAAATTTGTAAGTTAACAGTAAAACTACAACTCTAAATTGATGATATATAATATTGATATCAGTTTTCATTTAACTTTTTAGGTTAACTTTTTAGACCTTTTAGTGCTTGCTATGGTTGTTAAAGGAACACAAGCACAAATATGCTTGACAGCAAATTATAAAAAAAATAACTGGGATATCTCAGTTTAGTTTGATGCCTTTATTCAAGTTCCAATGAGTGAAAAATTCACCCCAGCTCTAAACATTTCGGTTGAGAACAGAAATATTAAAAGGTGCAATTTATTAACTACCAATGGATATTAGCCAATCAGTATACATTGGCAGTATCAAATCATCTTTCCTTCTTTGGACACTTCAAATTGCTGCTTCAGTTTATAACGCAAATTGACACTTTATGAAGACAAGAAAGGCTTTTTCCCCTGCAAAGATTTACTCAACCGGCAAATACGGTTTTCTTTGTATGTATTGAATATAATGCTACAGGTGATGTGAGGAAAAGAAATCCAGTGTCTCCCAGTGCCTGGTACACAGAAAGGGACGAATACACATTTGTGGGAGGGAAAGAATAGTGTTAAAAACATGGATTTGAGTTTCAACTCTAACATTTACTGATTACATGACTGTGGTCAAATTATATGTCCTCTCTGAGACTTGGTTTCCATATATGTAAATGTGGAGAATAAAAACTACTTAATAAAATTATTGTGAGAATTAAATGTAAAGGCATGGCTCACAGTAGGTGTTGAATATTCACTTCCACCAAAAATGTGACATTTTCCCTTGAAGTGTTTATATTTGTAAACAAAATATGTACCTATACATATCAACCAGTCAATCAAAACATGATACAGTAGATTATTAATTGTCATACTCTGGGTAAAAAGATAAAAGAAAAAAGAACAGACTAGTTCTACCAGTTTGCAGAGTAAAAGAAATCATCTAATGGTGAAAATGACTAAGGAAAAAAATTACTAGGAAATATGGGCAGCCAACATGTCTCATTTTCTTTACATCCCTAATTATGATTTTGACTCATAAATAGATTGTTGTTAACATAAGAATATTTTCATTTAATATACTATACTAATCCATCAACATAACTTTACAAATCATTGTGTTTTTCTACTAATTTGTGAATTGCATATGTTTTCATTGTGGTAATGACACTTGGTTACCATATCTACTCTAAGAGTCTATGGCAAAACCCCTATCAGAATAGATATCATTATAACCAACATCTCCATACAACAAAAGATATCCCTGCCCTGAGTAAATCTTTTAGGTAGCATCTTGTTATGGGTTTTGACCTATATAAATACTTGAAAGTTTTATTCTACATAAAATTTCTATAACTGCTTTGTACTTCACTGGGATCATCAAGTTATAGAAATTTTGATGTAGATGAAAGTACTGTGAATGTTATATAGGTTAATCCCAGTGCTTGGGAAGGAATCAGGAGTGCCTATAGAAATGTGAATTTTTCCCCCCACTATAAATTAATGCAGCCATGCAGGTAGGGCCATCTGCAGCCATACATGTTAAGAAAAGATATGATCTGGATGAGTTCAGAAAATGCTACAGATGGGAGCCTTGATCTCACAATTCAGTACAAAATGAGGAATACTTCAATCTTGCAATTTGGGATTCAGTTAAGTGACAGAGAGAAAAGGAAGGAACAGGCAAGAGGTCATCGGTGTTTGCACACAAAATTTGATAAAATTAAGAATGTGGCAGAGTGAGGTATATTTTGGTGTTTTAATGGAAAAACATGGCGAGGATTGGTTTTATGAATCTATTAGTACCAACAAAACTTAAGAAATCACACGGAAAATGATCTTTATTACTGGCTTCCATCATATAAATATTCACCTCATGGATCTAGGTATGCCTCAGTGTTTCACTTGTGCCTCTTTTTAGCTATTTTAATCTAGTTTGCTATCGTTAAATCCTTTCACCAGTGTCAGGAGAATACTTGAAATGTATATGTATCTAATTCTTCTTGGCTGAAATACAAATTTAACACAATGTATCACGGCACAATTTTACAGTTTGGGGACTATATTGAGGCTGGACTGTGACAAAAATAGAGCATTAATAAAGTGGATTGAGGGAATACTCACAGGGAATATATACATATGTACATATGCATTTTAATTGCAATTCTTCCAAACTTCCTACAAAATATTTAAAAGACATATTTGAAATTTAGACTGCTTTCAGGCAGTAGATTTAGTAGATCTGGCAAATTATTACTAATATTCCAACATCAGTACAATTTCCCAAACATTTCAATGTCCCCAGGCTAATAGAGGGTGTTGTTATTTCAGTGAGTGAACACAATACTTGTGTTTTTAAGAGGCACACTTTTCTAATGGTGTTTTCTAGTCCTTTCCACAAAGGCTACTGATGGACCAGTGACCCTCACTCCCTTCCACTTCCCAGATTAGCCTCTGCCTCTAGGTAAAATGACTTACATGACAATGGAAATTAGATATTCAGAAATCATCCTTGCCTAACATCACCCTAAACTCTATGTTAATATTTGTATTCTCCTCCCGTTCCCATAAGTGCAATCCAGCATTTCCTCAAGACACTGAAACAAGTGTGATTTATGTGACAATGCAAACATATGTAATCCATCATTTGCTAACATGATAGCATGAGCCTGTTTTCACACTGATGTTTAAGATGTGTTGACCAGTTTTCCTGGAAAATCATATCCAAACCAGCATTATTCACAGTAAGTAGTCACTGTAACATTCCCTAATTAATCTGATAAAAAGTCGATTAAATGTCAACAAAATCAGGATGATTTAGCCAATGAAGGAAATCCATTTAAATTATATTTTGCATTTACCCTAAGGATCTTTTCCTAAAGAGTGTTTATTCCTGAGTTTTTGTTTCATTTTTTGGTTTTGAAACAAGGGCAGACAAATATACTTTAAATCAAATATTCTTTAGTTGTATATGTTCTTTACATGTTCTATATGTTCTTTAGTCAGTAATCGAAGTTTTGAGTCATAATTTTGACAATTACACTAAGAAGTTACTATCCCCTTGTTCATGTAACCCTTAACCATTTGCTTTAAAGTTTAACATTTATATCTTTATACCTCATACCAAGGCTGCCTAAAAATTTCAAGACAGTACTTTAAAATGAAAAAAATAATTGGCCTCGTTCTCCTTCCCCTGACAATTTAGAAAACAATTCTTTTCAAAATAATATGTATCCACAAAAATCAGACAAAAAAACAACCAACCAAAAAATAAAACAAAACGTGGCAATTTCAAATATTTTTTGCATTAAAAAATAGCAAAAAATGATTAGCATACACATTTACTAATATGGTAAGAAACACGCTATTTGCAAAATCCAAAGGTGTGTGTACTATATGTGTACTGTCTTCATATATAGATAGATAGGTTGGGTGTGCACACCAATGAAGGTAGAGAGCCTTTCCCCTCATAGACCAATATTTAAAACTTCTAGTTCTTAATCTACTTTTTTCAATAACCATATCCTAGATGAACACTGGTCTTAAGTTCCTCAAATCTCACCGTCTAGACTTTTCAAGTTGAAAATAAGTAAAAATACCTTCAGGCTATTTCCTAATAGCCTCCAATCCTCCCTGCCCCCCTCCCCGTCCATGTGCTATGCACTAGGAAAACCAGTGTTCGTATACGTGCACCTATCTGATCTTTAACTGTCTGGAAGCTTCCCTGAGACTTCAAGCAAAGCCTAGACTTTCTTCTCAGCCTAAATGCTCAGACACTAAACAGAGCTTTCAACACTGAACCGGAAAACCCTTCCCGGTCCTTAAGGGCCATCGAGCAGCCGCTAAACTAAGCAACGGTTCTCCCCGGTTAGGGAGGTGAAGCAGCAGCAGGACGAGGAACCGGAGATAGACGTGTGGGAGCTGCTGAAGAATGCGAACCCCAACGAGTACGAGAAGATCGCCTTCCAGTACGGCATCACCGACCTGCGCGGGATGCTCAAGCGGCTCAAGCGCATGCGCAGGGTGGAGAAGAAGAGCGCAGGTGAGCCCGCTCGGGGGCGTGGCCGCGGGGAAACCCCGCCGGAGACCCTCCCTCCCCTGCCCTGGGTTTGGGGTGAGACTGGCTGGGGTGGGTTTTGTAGGAGCAAACGCTTCTCTTGATTACCTTTGTTTGGTTTTGTGTTTGTCTGTTTTTAATTTCTTTATTGGTTAAGGTATTACAAATGTGTCCTCATCCCCCCATTAATCCCCAACCACCACCACCACCACCCTCCACGCCCCCCCACTCATACTCTTGATTACCTTTGGCTCCAGGTGAACTAGTCCACTGCCCCGCACAGCACTGACTACGTAGGTAGTCGATAAGCTACTGAAGGTGTAAGGTTAACAGAAGGATTACATTAAAATACTGCTACGTACTTCATATAATAGAGCAGTGGTTCTCAACCTTCCTAATGCCGCGACCCTTTAATACAGTTCCTCATGTTGTGGCGACCCCCAACCATAAAATTATTTTCATTGCTACTTCATAACTGTAATTTTGCTACTGTTAGAATCGTAATGTAAATATCTGATATGCAGGATGTATTTTCATTGTTACAAATTGAGCATAATAAAAGCATAGTGATTAATCACAAAAACAATATGTAATTATATATGTCTTTTCCGATGGTCTTAGGTGACCCCTGTGAAAGGGTCGTTTGACCCCCCAAAGGGGTCGCGACCCACAGGCTGAGCACCGCTGTAATAGAGTATTAAATATTCCCAATGTCACTGATAATCTTTCAGCCTCCCTTTCCTCCAGCTTCCACATCTCCCCCACTCTCTAATCCTTCACTCTTGTTTAGGCAGAGGAGATTCGATGTCTGTTTTACCATCAGATTCTTGTAAATTCACTTCTCACAGCCAATAAGGTTATCATTGTGTTTTGTGAAATAGCGATGCTGCTCCCTGGTGACCTAAAGTGGATGCTGTTCGTGTGGTTTTTAAATACCCTTTAAAAAATACTGTAAGACATCGACATTTAAACTAAAAACAAAAAGAAAAGAAAAGAAAGAAATATGTTTTAAATTGATCATTAGCTCTTCATAGTTTCCTATACTTGGTCATCATCAGTTATGGTTTATGACACAGCAGGTTAGCATATCAATCCAATTCTTGTTTATTGTTTGTTAATGTTCAAATGGAATTTAAAGAATCTCACCACCTCCTTTTTCAAATCTGCCCTTTATTTCTCCGTGTAAATTGGTTGAGAAATGGCCCCACAAAAATATAGAAGTGGTTTGTTTCTGTTTTGTTTACCAACTTGGCCATTCTCAGACTTCACTCTCTCGGACTCCTGAAGTTTTATTTCTGAGAGGTGTCTGACACACCGGCCTTCCTTGTACCGGTCACTTAACTCTGAATTGATGTCTCAAGGTATGTGATAGATAACTTTTTTTTAAAGCTAATATGTATTTTATCTTGCTAAAATATGAGGACATGAGCTTGTTTGAGAAGTAGTATAATAAAGTTGGAATGATGGAAATGCAAGCATGAAACTTTGTGAGGCATTGCACACTTAAAGGTATTTCACAAACTGTTTAAATGAGAATTATTATCTTTAAAATCATAAAACATATGAACTTTTAAAAAGGTTAACTACCTTTGTTTAGGACCTTTCAAAGACAATATTTTAAAGGACCACTATGTTCTATGTTATTTAAATTTTGTTGAAACCCTGAGTTCCTAACTACATATGGAAGAGGAGTTTTTAATGTGCCCCTATTTGGGCAAGTATCCACAGTACAAAAATATCTGATAAGCCTATTTCAATTAGTCAAAGGCATTCAATTTAGTCTTATGAGTCATTGAATTTATCTCACAGATTCTAGATTTTAAAAAAACTATCTGTGACATAGAAGACATACAAAGGTAATACCAATAATCCTGACAGTAATTGCTAGTATACTAGGAGGATAAGCATATTCTTCAAATTCAATTGGGTGCTTTATATCATACATCCCCTGAAGGATTAGGACAATCATTTTTAAAGCCTCCTCAGTAATTCCTTTCTTATGTTGCTTCCAAAAACATGTGGATTCTCTTTAAACTTTATAAACCATTTTATTGTATGTAAGTAAGCCCAGAATTCTAAAATATAAAGGGTAATTGTTAGGTTTATAATTTTTTTCTTCTCTGATTCTTAATTTTTCATTTTGTTTTGGGTTCTCATACATATATTGACTATTTAAATTCATAACATACATATATGCATATTAACATAGTTTTGCTTCTTCTCTCTACTAGCTTTTGCAAAAATTCTTGATCCTGCATATCAGGTTGATAAAGGAGGCAGAGTAAGGTTTGTTGTGGAATTGGCAGATCCAAAGTTGGAGGTGAAATGGTATAAAAATGGTCAAGAAATTCGACCCAGTACAAAGTAAGTGAACTTTACCAATAATCAGTGATAACTATATCAATCAAACAGTAGTTTGACTTAATTTTCTATGAATAACAGCACTTTTTACTTAACCTTTACAAAGCAAAATTATATAGAGGGAGAATAAAAACTTTTCATGTATTTTGGAACCATTAAAATTACAGCGCTGTATGAATTAAACCTTGTTTTAGATTTAATTCTATGCAAACTATTTCAGATGACTCCCAATTATGGTTTTTGTCACTATAAGTTATATGTGATTATATCAGGGTGTTACCAAACTTCTCTCAATCTTTTAAAATAAAAGTTTGAAAAATTTTGAAATACATATTTGATATACCAGCTGGATGTCCCAATTTATAAGTACATAAGTTTTGTTTTTCCAGAGTAGCATCCAAAGCCTGTGTTTTATTATTGCTTGGCCCTCGCCCAAATGAAGAAGACAGACTAATCCCTGATGTCTGATGGTATCGCTGGTCTATTATGAAACTGATTTACAGAGATCCTTGTCAGCCCGAGAGATTTTCAACTCCAATATATTTTTTAAGTTAATAGGATTCACATGCATGTCTATAAAAGACTTTAATCCTAAAAATTTGTCACTTCTGTAGAACAATTAGGTGGCTTCTGATTTCTTAATGTGGTCATGCCTACAGAGTGACTGTGATGATAAAAACCTCTTGAAGGTGGCCTGAATTCATCAAAAACATAATTTTACTTGGTTATCTTAGTATAGAAAATGTTTAGTGTTTGGATAAAACACTAAAGTCTTCAATTTTAGAATTTTCCAAATAAAATGTTTTTCTGTAGTCTGTTTTAATGCCCTATTACACTCATCTATAATCCAAATCATAGATAATGAAATTGGGCAGTCTTCTTGGCTTTTAGTTATTTTGTTTCCAAATACCCAAGTTCTTTCTTAATAGATGGTAACTGTGATCTGATAACACTAGTTCTTAAGCTCATTTAAGAGATTATCACATTCTATAGAATTACTGTCTATATTAATGATTAAGTTCATATTATTGCTTAAATTGTGTAATCATTTATTTGCCCCAAAAGTCTGTGTTACTGGACTAGGCAAGGAGTGGAATCAATGAATCAGTGAGTAAGATCAAGGCTCTGTCCTTCTACAAAGTAGATAAATTGGTCATTTAAAAAAGTGTATAGAGTTGACAATCTCTCTGACAACCTCAGACAACCCTGTTTTCCAAAAATGGGTTAAAAATATTAAATAGAAAATATATGAGCACTGACTTATATTTGAAATAAAAACCTTATATAGAAGAAAATGACTGAAATTAAATATTAGTATATAAATATGCATATTATGCATTATGAAGATAAAAAATGGTTTCATGTTTGCTGTTCATTAAACTATGTAAGATATGCTTCATAAATGGCAGATCAAAATGATATCCCTGTCTTTCAAGCATTACCAAATTATAAGCCAAATTTTCTGGCAAGAAAGAAAAGCATAAAATCAGGTTTATAGACTCTGTTTATCTTCCTCCTATTTAAAATAGATACATCTTTGAACATAAAGGATGTGAAAGAATTATGTTTATCAATAACTGCGGGCTAACAGATGATTCGGAGTATTATGTGACGGCTGGCGATGAGAAATGTTCCACGGAGCTCTTTGTGAGAGGTAAAGTGAAATCTCTTACTGTAGTAGTCATCAAGAGCCATGGCTGTCTCTCAGGGATAATAATTAAAGTGAAAGTGATGAGGTGAGGTCTTGAGCTCCACCACAGAACTAAGTAGCATCTCTAGAGATGGTTTCGTTTGGACGCTCGATTGGCTCTGTATTGAAGCTACTCTACCCTGGCAGTTAATGTATGTCCTAACTAATCTTCAGTTTCATTGAAGACTAGAAAAGCCGAGGAGAGAAAAAACTGCTGAGGACAAATGCCCATAGGTTTTGACTCAAGCAAGCAGTACTTTACAAAATAATTATTCTAGTTGTACCTTCTGAAATCCAATGAAGTCTACAGAATAATCCTCATCTCTCATGCTCAGCTGATAAAAAAAAAAATAGATTTCTCTTGAACCCAGCTTCATAACTAAAGGGGCATCAGTGGTTGGCACTGAGAGCTCTAGAGAGTATCATTTCCTAAGACATTGCGAAAAGAGCCAGAGGCTGGCAGTGAAGCCAGCCACCACTTATTTTTATTTTTGTGAGACCCCTGCTCAAGACAATTCTGCAATCACTATCACCCATCTAGAGCCAGAATCAAAGAATTTTAGTCTTAAAGGTTCTCCATCAGAAATGTCTATCACCTGGTATCTTATTTCCATCCTCCCCCTCCCCCACAGTAAAATGATGTTTGATACATTTGTCTGTTCTCTAGAACAATAATTTATTTGATTTGATGAGTTCTGGGAAAATTTTCTCAGGGTTGACAGCTATTTATTTTGCTAAGAAAAGTCATAAAGACCCCCACCTACTGTCTGTCACCATCAAACTAACCATAGCTCTGTGGTATGATACTTTCTTCTGGTTTTTCATCGGTGAATAAGTTTGGGGTTGTGAGGCAGGTTTGGAACATTTAATGATTCTGATTCTCTTTTATTTTCACACTAGAGCCTCCAATTATGGTGACCAAGCAGCTGGAAGATACAAATGCTTACTGTGGGGAGAGAGTAGAATTAGAATGTGAAGTGTCTGAAGATGATGCAAATGTAAAATGGTAAATATCTTTAATGAGGTCTGTTCATTTTTAATAGACATACAAAAAAGTACCTTCATAGTTTGGACAATAGGAAATTGTTTTTACAGATATGAAAAGAATTCCATTCTCATTCGTGTCAGTATAAATGGTAACTATACTAAGATACTGTTTTGTTTTTTACTTATGGAGTTGAAAAAAATCTGAAAAGCTGTATTGGTAAGGATGTAGGGAAGTAGGTTCAAGGTTGCCAGGTCTGTTCAACCCCAAAGATAATAGATGCTCTTCACACACATTTGTAATACCTTAACTAATAATAAAAGAAAAAAAAATAGATGCTCTTCACTTCTATACCATGCTTCCTCTCACTATACCATGCTGGCAACTTACATGGAATATATACTTTAAAAAAAAATTTATTCCTAAGCATTTTGTTGTTATAGTACCTCAGAAAAATATTTTAGACTAAGAATCACCAATTACTTAAAAAAATAAAACCTTTTTTTTTTTTTTTTTTGGTCAGATGGAAATATTTAGTTGTAAGACACCACTGCACTCGGACCAGCCAGATGGAAATATTTAATTTAATCCTAAATTAAAATGCTTTGTTGGGAAGTATAGTAAATTACATGGCCAGAGTCTGTAGTAATTGGCACAGAGTCGATTGTTCATTCTAATCTAGAATCATCAAATGTATTAAGCCATTATGCTCACTAGTATACGTCAAAGGCCCAAACATGGGTAATATCTGCTCTTAGCATATTTATCTGTTTGATCTTGAATGGAAAGAGGGAGCTTATGTTCTTTTCATGTAGTTTTTCAGACAACATTTGTCATAATAATAATTTATTGATAGATTGATTTATACATTCTTTAATTCATTAAATCTTTCTTGAATGTCTGGTGTCCTGACAGATATTCTACAAAACACTGGGATATGGGGAAAACAAGGTCAATAAGGCCCATCTCTTGAAGGGTCATTTATAAAAAATTTTAATCTATTTTAACCCAGGTTTAAGAATGGTGAAGAGATCATCCCTGGTCCAAAATCAAGATACAAAGTTAAAATTGAGGGCAAAAAACACACTTTGATCATAGAAGGAGCAACCAAGGCTGATAGTGCAGAATATTCTGCAATGACAACAGGAGGACAATCATCTGCTAAACTTAGCGTTGGCTGTAAGTAAGACTTCCTTGGATGTCTTCCTTGTTGGCTTACCAGTGGTGTTGCATTTGTTAATTCCACTTTAGAAAAGTTTCCATCTATTTGATTTCTACCTGTGGCAATTTTAAATATGTAAAATTAAATTCCATTCTAGCTGTGTGTCTATGTCCTATCAACCGGGGTCTCTGAGAAAAGAACCAACTATTCAAGTTCACAGTAGAGCACCCATATTGAGAGGGAAGGATAAAAACCACCTGCCAGAGAAGTTACCCGCGGTTAAGAAATATTTTCATCTCCAAATCACATAACAGATGATAAATAGTTAGACATGATATCAACTCTTGATCCTGTTCGATTAATCCATAGGCGAACGTGCTATCTGTTCATTAAATAAACATTCAACATTCTGCAATTACATTTGAGATGAGAGTTACTCAACTAATAGGCCTCAATTGAGAACACTGAAGACCTAATTTGCTCATATGCTTCCGAGGCATGAGAGAATTAATGTGCTTCCCCTAAATGCCCACTACTAGTTCTCAGTGGCAGTCTGTCCCTTTCAGTTAGCTATGAAAATTAAAATAGCAGATCTCGCAAGAAGATTGATAATACACACAGAGCAGAAATCCTACTTCCTTACTGCTTTCTTGGTCCAGTTGCAATTCATATGATCACCAAATTATTCAAAAGTAATTTCAATACACTCCTATGTTTCCTGGGGTGGTGGCCATTTTAGTTTAATATCAAAAAAGGTTTTTTAACCGTAGGCAGATCTGATATTTGTATCCATTTAGAGCAGGTACAGTCAGTTCTGTTACAATGCAACATATGCATTTCTGAAAATCACTGTGCTATCCAAAGTCATGAAATAAAAACCAAAGGACTAGGGGGAGAGAATGGAGTTATGGGTATAACACTCAAAATTTTTGTCGACAACACATTTTACAAAAACCCAATAAGAACCTAACAAAAATATTAGCAGTTTTACACATGTTAAGTGGTTAATAGAACAATGTATATGGCACTTTACCTTAAAAAGGAAATGACATTTGCTTATGGAAGTGGTGTCAAAAGTGTTGCAGCTTGTGAGCTATTGGATAGTGGTAATCTCAGTTATGCATGGATGTGGCTCACATCACATGGGTGAACTGAGGCAGCTGGTAGATGTGTGTGTGGGAATGTGGGGGGTGTTTTGTACAGTCCTATCTGGCTCAGCTCAGCTGGGTGCAGTTTTTTGAATTCACCTAATCTTTGTTATGAATGAAATTGTATACAATCAAACATGACATTTGTGTTATGCTACAATTGCCCCCTTAATATATTAATTGCATTAGGACAAATTCTCATTTTCAAAGCAATCCTTAATAGCAAAACTGGCCATACTGTTGTGAAATGACACCATGTTTGCCTGTCTGGATTGGGTTTGGCACTGATAATTGTCTATTATTTTTGTAGTGAAGCCTCTGAAGATATTAACACCTCTAAGTGATCAGACTGCAAAACTTGGAAAAGAAATCTGCTTGAAGTGTGAAGTCTCTGAAAACATTACAGGAAAATGGACTAAAAATGGACTGCCTGTTCAGGAGAGTGACCGCATAAAGGTTGTACACAAAGGAAGGTAAGCAAGCTAGGCAACCCTGAAGTGAAGGCTGGTCCCCATCTTTACTTTCTCCCCTTCCTAAATTACACATTGGCAAGAATGTTTGAAGAGCCATCCAAGGGAAAGAATCTATTTCTGATTCATTGCTGCCGAATAGCAGGAGCATATGATTTCTCTGTTATACATCATGTCCTACCTGTAATCCTGGGTCTGCACCTTACAATATGGTGCTTTGCCTAGTCAAAACCCACTGACTGATTCTTTCTATCTAAACATGAGGTCAGAGGAATGCTACTGAATTCTAGTTGAGGAACTGGTCAAATTGGATTAACTGTCCCTAACCAATAAGTGTCACGAGACCTTTCCACAATTTTTTTTTTTGGAGGGGAGGGGAATAATATCCTAGAACCTAGCAAAAATAATCTAAGGCACGGGTTCTCAAACTTGGATCCATGGATCCTAACAATATCGTTAATGAACTTTAAGGGCCCTCATAAATCCTCTGAAATTGTTAGCAAATCCTGTGTGTACAAAAATACCTGTTTTTCTCCAGCAAGAAGATCCGTAGTGGCCATCAGATTTTCACTGGCTCATGACCTCAATAAGGTTAAGAAGTATTACTCTTAGGTTTGGTATGTAAAGCCAAAGTCAAGGTTATTCTTAATAATTTCTTGAATCTTAAAGTATGGTATCAGTGAGATATTTTCTTTTAGCCTTTTTAATGCTATGAGATAAAAAAGAATAAGAGATTCTTGCTTCATAAGTAAGTTGTATTTGTAGAGATAACTCCATATAGTCTAAAATAGATATTAAATATGGACCAATACATGGGAAAATTACGACTTCACATTATTCTCTATCTAAGCTGCACTAAACAAGTTAATCAGATAAAAGCCGGGTGTCTCCTCAGTTTGGGTCATATACAATCTAAATCTTTGCAAAGTCTTAGAAATGTGGTTTTCTCGTTTCCTCAGAATCCACAAATTAGTGATAGACAATGCCCTCATTGAGGATGAAGGGGATTACGTGTTCACACCAGATGACTACCCTGATACTTTGTCTGCCAAAGTTCATGTTATTGGTGAGTAGATAAGAGTAACCTTTGCAACGTCCTGGTCTTTTATATTTGTTGTTGCATACCTTGGAATTGTAAAATATTCAAAACTATGTGATGTTTGAAAAAAATACACGAACTGTTATTAATCACTACCATATGGTTGATTCTTAAGAAATCTTACTATGAAGTAGTTTTGAAAGGTGCCTCCTTTACACTGACTCCTCTTACATTCTTTTTGGACAGATAAAATATTGATTACTACCAATGTTTAACACTAGCCAAGTACTAGCCCAGATATTCACATGGGAATGACTGTCTGATAACAAAGGCCATGTTTAATATTCCAGATCCTCCTAAAATCAACCTGGATGGTCTTGATGCTGACAACACAGTAACAGTAATTGCAGGGAACAAGCTTCGTCTTGAGATTCCCATCAGTGGAGAACCTCCTCCTAAAGTTATTTGGAGCCGAGCAGATAAGGTTTGTTCTACACACACACACACACACACACACACACACACACACACACACACACTGCCCACCCCACTTCCTGACCTCCATTAGTTAGATGAAAGAAGAAGCAAATAAATGTACAGGGGTACAGCAACAGTGTAATTCTTTTGATAAAGAAAGATCAGTGATTCTCGGACAAATGTAATAATCATTCATTTACCTTTCATATATATGACTACCTTCTATGTGACCTGGCATGCTTTTATGTGCAGTGAACAAGATTATATATTTCATTCTAATGAATATCAGGGAATGGGATGGAGGAGAAAGAGGCAATGAATTATTTAAATAAATAGATGGATAAAATTATTTTGCATAGTAATAAGTGCTATGAAAATTAAACAAAAATAGGCTGATATAATTAACAAGTGACTGTGTTGTGAATGACAAAAGCCTCTTTGAATGACAACAAGGAACCCATTATGTGAAGATCAAAGAAGAAAGATTTTCAGGTGAAGTCAATGCAAGTGCAAAGGATAAAAGGAGAGAATGAACTTGATGTGTTGGAAGAATAAAAAGAAAGCCAGTGTGACTGGGGTAGAGTGAGGAAGAGAATAATAAGGTTGTAGTGGTAGACTAATATCAGCTCATATGTGACCCTATGGATTCCTATATAAAACTAGATGCCTGGTGCACGAAATTTGTGCACTTAGGGGGGGAAGGTCCCCTCAGCCCAGATGGTGAGAGGGCACAGGCCAGGCTGAGGGACCCCACTGGTACAGGATCAGGGCCAAGGAAGGATGCAGGAGGTTGGTCAGCCGGGGAGGGACCGTGGGAGGGCTCCAGGGAATGTCCAGCCCATCTCGCTCAGTCCCCATCAGCTGGACACTAGCAGCAAGCTAACCTACCAGTCAGAGCATCTGCCCCCTGGTGGTCAATGCACGTCATAGTGAGCAGTTGAATGGCTTTAGCATATCATTAGCATATTACACTTTGATGGGTTGAATGGCCAACCGGATGACCGGATACTTAGCATATTAGGCTTTTATTATATAGGATGGCGTATGGGCAGCAAAACTACTCCCTATTATTCTATAGTTTTGGATACGTATCATTATAGATTTGTCAAAACCCAGGAATGTACAATACCAAGAGTGAACCCTAATGTAAATTATGGACTTTAAGTGATAATAATGTGTTACTGTAACAACTGTGCTGCTCTGACATGGGGTGTTAATAGTGGGAAAGGTTGTGCATATGTAGGGATGGGTTATATGAGAACTATCTGGACTATCTATTCAATTTTGGAGTAAACCTAAAACTAATTTCTTCTTCTTCATCATCATCAAAGAGTTGATGAGTATTTCCTCCTTTTCTATTTTCTAGAGGAAAAAAAAGTATCATTGAGCCATGGAACAACTTCAAGCAGTGCAATTGGAGTCTGGAAAGAGGGGGTCAGAAAACTATTTAAAGAAATAGTAGTCAAAATGTTTCCAAATTTGGCAAAAATTATAAATGCAGATACAAGAAGCTCAATAAAAACCAAGCACAAGGAGCATTAAGAAAATGACTCCAAGACTCATCATAATTAAATTGCTCTAAGCTTGTGAGTAGGAAAAAACCTTAAAAGTAGAAAGAGAAAAAAGTCACACTTAATACACAGGAACATAGGCAAGGATTACTTAGATTTCTCTGGAAGCAAGGCAAGTGAGAATACAGTGGGCAACATCTTTAAAGAAAAAGACTGTCAACCTAGAATTCTATACTCAACAGAAATACTTTTCAGAAATGAAAACAAAATAAAATGATTTTCAGATATATAAAATCTGAAAAAATCATCAGCAGTAAACCTAAACTATAAGAAATGCTAAAAGAAGTCCTTAAGTTAGAAGGAAAAGGTTATCAGATGAAACATTTTCACAAAGGAACAAAGAGCATCAGGAATGGTAACTACTTTTAATAGATAAACCCATAAGAGGTTTTAAAATATTTAAATCTCTTAAAAAGATAATTGACTGAAAAATAATAACAATGCACTGTGTGGCTTATAATCATAGGTATAAGTAGAATTTATGACAATAAAAACATAAGGTCAAGTGGGGAGAAATTGAAGTAAGGATCAGTAGAAATAAAATGGAAGTATGCTGTTGTAAGTTTCTTTTCTTTGCTATACATGAACTATTATAACATTATGTAAAGGTAGACCATGAAAAGTTAAGGATGTATACTATAAACCCTAAAAGACCTACTAAAATAAAAAATGATTTATAGCTAATAAGCCAACAAAGGACATAAAATGCAATCACCAAAACATTTATTAATTCAAAAGAAAGGCAGGAAAGAAGCATAAACAACAGATGGGACAAATAGGGGGGGAAAGCAAGATATAAAATTGCAAAGAGAAATATATAAATTAGAGATTTCAATATTCTTCTCTCAATAGTGAAAAAGAAGGCAGGCAATCATTAAGTATACAGAAGATTCAAAGAATACTATCAACCATCTTGAACTAATCGACATTGATAGGACACTCCATTGAAAAAGCAGAATGGGCATTATGTTAATAAGCACATAGGAAATTTACCAAGATAAACCATAAAAAAGTCTCAGTAATGTTAAAAGATTTAAGTTATGCAAGGTATGTTCTCTGACTACAATGGAATTAATTAGAAAGGAATAACAGAAAGATATCTGGAAATTTTCCAAATATTTGGAAATCAAGGAACATTTTTCTGAAGAACTCATAAATTAAAGAAGTAATCATAAATAAAATTAGAAAATATTTATGAACACGCCACATATCAGAATTTGTGAAATGCTGCTAAATCAGTACTGAATAGCCTTCTATCTATAAAAGAAATGGAATTTGTAGTTTGTCACAAAGAAAATCCCAAGTCTAGATGGCTTTATTGAGAGTTCTACCAAACACTTAATAAAGAAATAATACCAGTTCTGCACAAACTCTTCCAGAAAACTGGAGAAGAGAGAATAGCATTTCTCAATTCACTCTTGAAGGCCAGTATTACTCTTATAGCAAAATCCGAAAAAAACAACAACATTATAAGAAGAGAAAACTACAGACCAATATCACTCATGAACATAGATGAAAAAGTTCTACATGAAATTTAGCAAATTGAATCCAAAGATATAGAAAAGGAATGCTACATTATGACAAAGTAGAGTTTATCCCAAGAATGCAAAGGTTGTTTAACACTTGAAAATCAATTAATATAATTTACCATTTTAATAAACTAAGGGGAAAAAGTATGATCATTTCAAAAACATTTGACAAAATCCAACAGCCTTTTCTAATATCTCTCAGCAAACTAGATTTATGGTGAAGTGGTTTGGGGCTTTTTTTGTTTGTTTTCTAGACTAAATATAAGGTTTAGTATAAAGTATAAGAAATCTAATGGTTAAACTTCCCATTTGTATTTTATTTTCTTGAATATTATTTCATAGTTATTTGTTTAAGAAGATTTAAAAATTACTGCACTTTGGTCAGAACAATAATAAATATATTTTATTAGTGAAAAAAGTGTAATGCTGCTTTAAAGTTATGGTTTAAGAAAAATGGAAAGAAAACAGTGGAAAAGAAGGAGGAGGAGACGGAAAAAAAGAAAAACATTATAGACTGCTCAACTTCACTTTGGGAATGAGATGTCCATTCTCTTGTGTCCTCTTGAAAGGGAAAAATCAATACTCAATTAACTTTATGAAAAATTGGCATTGTGACCTTCAAACCTTTTCAATATTTTTAAAATGTCAAGACCTCTGAAAGATGAAAAAAAAATCATTATTTAGTTCTTGAAATGAATTTAACTATTTCAGATTTTATATGCAGAGACTTGTCTCCTAGAATAACACTCTGTACTCATATTTTTAGTCCTCCAACTTTTTCTTTGGTGAATTAATGATTGGTGGGCTTTGAAGTCAAATCCCAATTCTACCGCTTCTTAGCCATGTGGCCATGGGCCACAGTTTTCTCATGTGCAAAGTGGGATGATACCTTTGTCCTTAGCGTTGATGGAAGATTAAACTAAGAATGTGTGTTTTAGGCATTAGTACCTTGTCCAGCTTGGGTTATACGGCACTCCAGTGTAGTCCTTGTTGGTGTATAGGTCATGCCACATTCTATTTCTTTCCTCCGTAGGCCATCATGGAGGGCAGTGGCCGGATAAGGGCAGAATCTTACCCTGACAGCAGCACGCTGGTTATTGACGTCGCTGAGAGAGATGATTCTGGTGTTTACAACATAAACCTGAAAAATGAAGCTGGGGAAGCACATGCCAGCATCAAGATTAAAGTTGTGGGTAAGTACCCCTATCCAGTTTGGCTCAGTGGATAGGGCATTGGCCTGTGGACTAAAGGGTCCCGGGTTTGATTCTGGTCAGGGGCACATGCACGGGTTTGGGGCTCAATCCCCAGTGGGGAGGAGGCAGGGGGCAGCCGATCAATGATTCTCTCGCATCATTGATGTTTTAATCTCTCTCTCCCTCTCCCTTCCTCTCTCTGAAATCAGTATATATATACATAAACTGTGGTAGGTCCACTGAATCAATAAACTTATAGACAAGTTGGCATGTCTAGATCATGAGTACACTGTGAGCTCTTGATTCTCTCAACATTTCTGGATAGGCAACAAAGAGAAACATAGTTTGGCTATATTTTATAAGTCACTGTCTTTCTCTATCTTTGACACTTCTTTTCTTCCCTTCTCTTTTTCTTTCCTTCCTCTTTTTTTGTGGCATAGAGGACATACTGCAGAAATGAGTAACTGAGACAGCCATTCTGGGTGCTGGTCAGTGGCTCTTCATAGTCATATTCCCTTTCGGTATCCTCTAAAGTTATTGAAACAAATGTTAAATAATTTCCCACATCACAAACATTATAGAGGAGTAAGATCTCTCTTGGTCCTTCAATGACCAGCTAAGTACATTTTTCCTGAGCCTGAATCCAAGTGAAATGAGTCTAGCAGATTACTGGTGATCCTAGGTTTCATGAACTCTTTATTGCACTTCTGATGTCCGTTAAACATATTTCAAATTGACCAGAAACTAAGGTCATTTTATCAGGCACTGAACTATATTTACAAGACATGGTGACTTATCATTTTTACTTGGATTTTTATCAGTGAACATCTTGAATCTTCCAACTATTGTAAAATTCACAATAAACCATCCTGGATTCAGTTCTGCTGGAAGTTCACTTTGTAGTTAAAAAAAAAAGAAAACAAAATCACATTGGACATTACTTAGTTAATATTCTCAAGGTAAAGAACAAAAGTCGTGGGTTCCATGCGGGGCTTATTTAAGTTGTGACACTACTTTAAAGGATTCTTATTTTTTATTTTTATTTGGTTTACCTTCTCTTATCTCAGATGAAGCATGAGTTTTTGCCCAAATTAGTTACTAAGTGCATTTCAGTAAACTTGCAAAAGTTCTCAGAAATAATGCTGCTTCTATGATTATCACCAAAAAGCACATTTTTCCAATTAACATTTTTCTTTGCACGTGCTCTCTCTCTTATTTTAGTCTATGTTTTTGTTTGCTACAGACATCCCTGATCCTCCAGTGGCACCGAATGTGACAGACGTGGGAGATGATTGGTGCATCATGAACTGGGAGCCTCCTGCCTACGATGGAGGGTCCCCAATCTTAGGTAACTGCATGCTGGTCAGTCTGTGGAAATGCCACTGGAGTGGTGTCCTCAATGCATGTCAGTACAGAGTACATTAAAAATTTAGTATTTAGAAGAAAATTTATTATAGTGTCTTTACATATCTTTTCAAAATGAAATACTGTATTTTAGGATGCCCTGTAATTATTCAAGGGTTTTAATAGCCCTGATGAATATTGTATGTTTGTGTGTGTTTTTTTGGTTGACATTTATATTTGACATAATATTTAATTATATTGAAACACTGTGAGTCTAACTTTAAACCATTCTAGTAAGTAAATGTCTAGTTTTGTAGAATTGTGTCTATGAGGAAAATTATTTTAGAGTTTAAAACTTAGAGAATTTGCTTTCCCTATGGAACAAAAACTCTTTTCTACTTACTCAAGAAACTGGTACTTTCCCCTTCATATTGTTTGGACTAAATCTATTGCTCACCTATACCAACTCTATAAGTTGGTATGACCCACATATCCATTATCTATTTTTCTCTTTTCTTCTTAGTACAATTCTAATTTTTTTCTAGTCCTGTTATTTTTCTTTCTCCTACGCTGTTAATACTTGTATTCCCTATAATCTCAAACAACTGATGAAATAAGGTGGTTTAGAAATGACATACATTGACTTAGAGTGCAGAGAATATTGGAAAATTGAAGGACTTCTAATATCTGACAAAGTATAGTTTTGGAAACCAAGAGGAAAAAACTTGCATTTCTATTTTATGTCATCTGTAGGATACTTTATTGAGAGGAAAAAGAAGCAAAGCTCCAGGTGGATGAGGCTGAACTTTGAGCTCTGCAAAGAAACAACTTTTGAGCCCAAAAAAATGATTGAAGGCGTGGCCTACGAGGTCCGTATCTTTGCTGTCAATGCCATCGGCATCTCCAAGCCCAGTATGCCCTCCAAGCCATTCGTTCCTTTGGGTAAGTCAGGAGAGATGTGTTCTTGTCCTGGAAATCATTACCCCAGATTATGACTGCTTCCTTCCGACCTCCAACTGGAGCCGATCTGGAGGCTTCTTAGAGTGGTGGGTGAGCAGGAGGTTGGAGGTAGTTAGGAGTAGTTTTCTGACTAAGAAATTTGGTGGAGTTGAATGTCTTCCTAATGTTGGCCCTGGAATTCATGACCAGAATTCTCATGACAGCTGTGGGTGGCTCCAGTTTCTGCTCCCCACTGAAAACATGTTGCTGAACTCACTGACACATGACCACACACCATTTGTCCTTCTGAAGGTATAACCCAGCACCTTGTGTAAACACTGTAACTACAACAGTTTGAGATCATTCAGCAAAACACGCTTCAGAACTAGTCTTTGCTTTACAAGCACATCTTAAGTGTTATCTATTGAACCAAAAAGTCAGTTCAGCAAAGACAAAGAAACAGAAGGTGAGGGCTTCGCTATTTTATGGTAGTGAATTTTTTTTTCCAATAGAAAGACTTAATACAAGAGTTTGTACTTTAGAGAGTTATGGGAAATGTATTCTAGATCATTAGACTCCAAAATTGGACTTTTTTCTAACTTCCTAGGGCCTCCCAGCCTCCACACTAACCTCCCAAATTGGAGGGAACATGTGGCAGCATTTTAAAATATTTCCATGTTGCCCAGCCAGTGTTGCTCAGTGGTTAAGCCTTGACCTGTGAACCAGGAGGTCATGCCTGGGTTGTGAGCTCAATCCCCAGTGTGGGGCATGTATGAGGCAGCCGATAATGATTCTCTCTCATCTTTGATGTTTCTATCTCTTTCTCTCCCTTTCCCTTCCTCTCTGAAATCAGTTCTATATAATAAAAGCCTAATATGCTAAGTGTTTGGTCATCCGTTCAACCAATCAAAGCATAATATGCTAATAATATGCTAAAGCTGCTCAACCACTAGCTATGACATGCACTGACCACCAGGGGGCAGATGCTCCAACCAGTAGGTTAGCTTGCTACTGGCGTCTGGCTGATCGGGACTGAGTGAGATGGACCAGACATGCCCTGGAGCCTTCCCATGGTCCCTCCCTGCCTGCCCAACCTCCCGCATCCCTCCCTGGCCTGTGCCCTCTCACAATCCAGGACCCCTCAGGGGGATGTCAGAGAGCCAGTTTCAGCCCAATCCCACTCAACGCAGGAGCTTCCCCTGGTGGTCAGTTCACTCCACAGGGGGAATGCCGCTCAGCCAGAGCCGGGCTTCTGGCTGGCGAGCCTAGTGGCTGTGGCGGGAGCCTCTCCTGCCTCTGTGGCAGCACTAAGGATGTCCAGCTGCCAACCTAAGCCATCAGTCAGACATCCCCCAAGAGCTCCTGGACTGTGAGAGGGTGCAGGCTGAGCTGAGGGACACCCTCGCCGCCGCTCCCCCCCCACCCCCGCCCCCGAGTGCACAAATTTCATGCATCAGGCCTCTAGTAAAAATATATTTTTAAAAATAAAATGTTTCCATGTCTAGCAGATCTTTGCACGCAGCATATGCTTGAGGAGTCTTCATTTAATTTTACTAAGACGTGGGTCTTCTGTGTATATTTTTATTTGTATCCTAGCTCATTTTATTACCATTCCTGGTGCCATAAACTTTGCAGTTAATAATTTCTTCTTTTTCTGTCTCTTTTATCTTTGAAGCTGTAACCAGCCCCCCTACACTTCTGGCTGTTGACAATGTAACTGACACCACTGTCACAATGAAGTGGCGGCCCCCAGATCAGATCGGTGCCGCAGGTTTAGATGGCTATGTGCTAGAGTATTGCCTTGAAGGAAGTAAGTACAACTCGTGGTTAAAATGAATACCATCATCACTAGGTGAGATATGCTCCCCTTCTTTTGTTTCTCTCTCTTGGGAACTCATCTCCTGCCTACTGAAAATCACAAGCCAAAGGTCATCCTTCTAAGATGGATAAAAATTTAGCCCTTCTTTGATACTCGCGGCTAGCAAATTAAGATCTCCAAAATATTCTAGCTTGGCTGCCCGATGGGACAGCACTATTGATCTAAGTCAAGATATAGGAGGGAGGGGGTCCTGGAAATAGTTCAGGGACTTCCAGTTCTTGAATTTGTGGAATTAAATTGTACCAAAGCAAAATAAAAGTCTAGTCAGAAAGAAGCAAATTAGAATTCTCAACCCTAAACTGAGCAGAGGTCAGCAATTAAAAGAGCTGCCTCTTTCTGGGGAAGAAAGAGCGACTACACACTAGCATTTGGCTCTTTGGTGAGCATCCCCTGCCTTCTAAAGTGGGAAACCAAGAGGACGAAGAAGAATTAAGGACAACTTTTTAGTATTGAAAGGAAGCAGCGTTAAATCCCACATGGGGTACCAAATGGATTGCCCATGTGGCAGTAACTTCTCTCAGGGCTTTGGATACCTACAAATTTAATCACTCAAATTTAGGAGCAGAAAAGAAACAGGGAAACAATTGCTGATAAAAATCATAGAAAAAGAGAAAGTGGCACAAGAAAATATGGGCCAGAGTGTACCGAAAACCAAAAAAGAGGTGAAATTCACTGAAAGCCTCTAATGTTTCTTGATTTCTTCCTTGTCATGGTTTGAAAATATATGAATCAAACTGCCCCAGCTCTGGACTCGGGCTCCATTCTAGACGATGGTAGGTAAACCACCCTCAGGGAAGCACATTCATATCCACAAAGGATGAGCCAAGGGGTAAGCCTTCAGGAAAACTCTTTGGACCCCAAACTTTCACTTGGATCTCACATGAAGGACAGAGAGAGACCACAGGGCACATTTGGGAAATCAGGAGTGTGAATCCAAATGCACCTCCCCAGGAGGCAACACCAGGATGGAGAAGAAACTTCTTAGGAGGAGAAAACTGCTGGGAACGAAACCCCTGGCCCTGGATTGGGGCACCTGTGGAAATGACCAGGGGTGGTCAGGTGGGGAGGAAAGGCGGGGGGACGAAGCCTCCTGGTAACACTCAGTTCCATTTACACGCGCTGCACTCACGGAGCACGAGGTTTATTTCTCCGGGGCTTAGAAAGCCACTAACCAAAACGGGGGGGACATTCTAAGGAAGTTCCTAGAGTTATCCCAGCATGGGAGGCGGGCAACAGAGAAATTCTTGAGAACTTAATATGGTGGATTCCCATTGCATTCCTCACCCGCCCCCCCCCCCCCGACTGTTTCAAAAAAATCATGAGCACTTCACTCTGTTGTCTGTATCACCCAGAATTCCCCAATCTTATATGTGTTGTGGCTGCTGACCACGAACCTTTTGTGTATGTATGACCCGGAGCAAATTCTTTACTCTTTTCTTTCTGATAGGTTTAAAAAGTAAGAAGATACAGCAAAATGATACATGGCTGTCATTTTGATGTTGCCCACCTTAGATAAAATACAACGAAGTGTATTTTACATGATTTTGTGTGTGGTCTGTGTAGATATATATGTATAGGCCTATACATATATATATGTACACAGTCATTATTATGTATATATTTTGCCACATAACGTTTTGGAATTAGCTTTCTATGGAACGTGTCCATCTTTCTTCTTGCAGTCTTTTCTTACTTCTTTCATGTGGCTGACCTATTCTTCGTTCTCTTTTAATGGCTGTTTTCCTCCAGACTAATTTTCTGTAGTGTTTAATGCTTTCCGACATGTCAGGTTGTATTCTGTAAGAGAGCTCTTCCTTTTAGAAGATGGTGTGTTGGTTTTGACTCTGCCTTTCTCTTGTTTGGTTTTCTTGTTGGTGTTGTTGTTTTTAACGCCTGCAGCATTTTACTCTTCTCTGTTTTCTTCCTTCACTCTCGCTCCTTCTTCTCTTTGCTTCCCTCAGCGAAAGTGGTTCAGAGGTGAAGGGCTCAGCTAGTTTTGTTCCCCTCGGGTCCCATTGCATCCTGTTTTCTCTTGAAATTTTCTTCTCTACTAGTTCTCTGCTCTTTCGTGCACGTTTTCTGCCTCCTGATTTCACTTGCTCATCAGTTGTCTCTTGACTATGAAAATGTCAACACAGTAGTTCCCAAACCAAGCCTTGGCTTAAAGACGTATCTCTTTTTCCAAGTCCTAAGTAATTTTTATTATCTATATGCACTCCCAGCCACCAAGATATTCTGGCTTCCTGCTCCTTCTCCCTGATACTAGTACTCCTAGAAGGGTTGGAATAAGACAGAAGAGAAAGTTCCATGGGGGCCAGTGCAGTCCCCACTCCCCCAATACCCAGAAAGTCATCATGACAAACCATGACCCCCCCCCGCAGCCCCCCCCCCCCCCCCCCCGTGAACCAGCACCATCTCCTGCACTCTTGCAGAATGCAGAGACCAGCTGGCTCCCTTGTCTTCTTGACCAACAGCTTGGTCTCAGGGCAACCAGGGGCTGCCTCCTCAGAGGCTGGGGCAGTTTCCATTTCCTTTGAGAATTAGAGCCCTGGTAAGACAGGGTGGGCCTTATTATGAGTGTCCTCACTCCCAGACTGATGCATGAGCCCCATCACGGGAGCACTTCATTCCCTGGGAACTCGGAGGACCCGCCCAGGCTGGGGTGGCTGGGGCAGGAGCAAGGACGGACTGTTCCACCGTGCACTGCTCCCCTGTGGAATCCAGGGCCTGCTCCTCCTTTCTCTTCGGGGTCTTGCCTGGTTCTTCTCTACTTCTTGCTCCCACAGCCAGAGGTACTTCAGGCTCCATTCTCCTCCTCTTCTCCGTGGCTGGTGCCACAGGACAAAAACCACAGTCTGAACAAAGCAGGCCGTGCCCCTCCCCAGGAACCCGTCCTGCCCCCCTAACGTGTTTGGTCTCTTCCGTCACTGCTCTGAAGACAAATATCTTTGCATACTTTGCATACTTTACTAACAGAGAATGCTGACTACTGATACATAGTCTTCTGGTGTGACAGTGGGTGTCTTTAATTAATTTTAATGACGGATTCTCAAAGGTACATCAGCAAAACTGTCTGATGAAAATGGGGAGGCTGCATATGATCTGTCGTCAGGTAAAGTATTCTTTGAAAGCTTTCACACTTTCTTACTCTATGATAAAGTTTCTGGGAATGCCCATAACCCAGCATGAAGTACACCCACCGTCCATACACACAAGAAAAGTCCTTTTAGAGATGGAGGGGGGCGGGGGTGGGCAGTGAGCTCATAATGTGGGATCCAAGCCTTCTTTTGTCCTGTGGGCATAAAGCATAGGAACTGTTAGAAGCTGAAATAGTTATTAGCCCTGGATGCTGGCTTGAGGTGGAAGAATTGTGCCAACTCCTTAGGAGGTCTTGGCCCCTGCGCTTTGCTTCCACCTTCGTGGGTATATGCGTACTGTCTTCGTAAATGGGAGCATGATCAGATTCCCTATCCTCATGTGTGTATTTCAGAGTAATAAACTAGCATCTGATAGTAATAAACTAGAAAGATTATATGGCCGGAAACTTACTATAAAGTTCTGTCTCTCATTCATAAGAATAACGTTTTCCTGTGTTTCTGAACTTTAATGTATATGGATGGCTAGATATCATGGTTACATCCTTCATTGTACAATTGCTGTCAAATTCTTGGGAATAGTTATTATGCAAGTGACCCTAGTATCCTGAATAGAGGTTTTTCAGAAATAACAGAATCTGATTGTCCTTCTTCCTGTTATTTGCATTAGCCAGTATAGGCCATTTTTTCATTTAAGTCTGAAAAATGCCCAGCCACACACGTGATCTGAGTCCAGGCCAAATGATTTAATTATGAGTAAAATACTAATTTGGAGTTGACTGTACCAGTTAAGATGATTATTTCTCTAAATACTGTTTTGCCTTCTTTTTCTTTTGTGGATTTTAGCTGAGGACTGGATAGTTGCAAACACAGATCTGATCGACAAGACCAAGTTCACCATCACTGGTCTGCCCACGGATGCAAAGATCTTTGTGCGTGTGAAGGCTGTGAACGCAGCCGGTGCCAGCGAGCCCAAGTACTACTCTCAGCCCATCCTTGTGAAGGAAATCATAGGTAGGTGGTGAGCCTTTCAACATGTTATCTCCCTTTTACATTATTTGCTTTTATTTCTTAAATCCCTTTCTCCTTTAAAACTTTCTATTTTGTTATCACTCCTTTGATATTATATTCATGCTTCCTGGGAGTTAAAAATAACAAAACAGCCCAGCCAGTATGGCTCAGTGGTTGAGCACTGACCCATGCACCAAAAGGTCACTGGTTAGATTCCCAGTCAGGGCACATGCCTATGTGGCAGGCTCCATCTCCAGTAGTGGGTGTGCAGAAGGCAGTTGATCAATGATGTTTCTTTCTCATTGAAGTTTCTATCTCTCCCTCTCTCTACAGTCAATAAAAATATATTTTAAAATTAAAACAAAACCACAGCTCTTTTCAGGCACTGTGGAGGGTAGCCTGGGTTTATATCTTGGTATGAGGACCAGTTAGTTAGCCTCACTGGGGTTCTTCACCATTGACTTGAGAGAGAGAGAGAGAGAGAGAGAGAACTAGTAATCTGGACACACTGTTTGACAGCTGCTCTAATGGTGTGAAAGTGGTCATGGGTAAAACTGCTGGTGCCTTAGCGTGGATCAAGTCGGTGCCACCAACTGTTGCTCTTTCTTATCTTCCTCCCCACCATGCACTTGCAGCTAAAATAAAAGGGCCAGTGTTGCCTTGGAGTGTTCTTGATGTGGCATAAAATCATTAGTATTATTAAAGCTTGGTGCTTGAGTACACTTTTTTTTCTATACTTTGCGACAATAAAATGCGCAGTATGCATGACGCCTTGTGCTGTGTACCATAGTACAATGGTTGTGTCTAGGAAAAGCCCTCGTGCAACTGAATTAGAGGCTAAACTAGTGGCTTGTTTCATGAAATTCCATTTTTATTTGAAAGAATGACTGTGACAAACAACGTCTTGTCAGATTTGGTTACCCAGCAGACATTTTCTAGAAAATGAATGGTGCGAGCCTGTCACTTCAAGGAAAACCATTTATACTATTTGTTGTCAACTGGTCAATGAAATAAAGAAGAGCTTTTCAGCAAAAATTAGAATTTTGGGAAAATGTTACCCATCACCATGGACTTGACAGCTCTCTAAAACTTAGAAATGTTTCCATCATTTATTAGCTATGTGGTCTCGGGTAAGAGACTTGATCTTTCTGAACCTTGATTTCTTCATCGGCAAGATGGAGATAGCAATAGTTTTTACTACCTCAAGAGGGGTGAGAATTAAAGAAATGAATCCATATTGTTTGTTTCACGGAGTGCTAAGCCCTCAGCATGTGTGAGCTTTTATTAGGATGATGGTCCAGTTTGCTGATGAACCTTACTGAGTCTCTTTTAGGGAGTTGGAGGATCTCCCGGATCTCTTCCAACCAACCCCAACATTTAGTCCTCATCATCTACATCATCAATATCATCATTATCTCCTTAAGTTTACTACTATTCTTTTAAAATATATTTTATTAATTTCAGAGAGGAAGGGAGAGGAAGAGAGAGAAACATTATGATGAGAGAGAATCATTGATCAGCTGCCTCCTGCAAGTGCTCCTCCCCCGCCCCCCCCCCCCCCCCAACACACACTTACTGGAGATTGAGCCTGCAACCCGGGCCTGTGCTATGACCGGGAGTTGAACCATGACTTCCTGGTTCATAGTTCAATGCTCAACTACTGAGCCACGCTGGCTGGGCTAACGTTTACTGTTCTTGACCATTATGCTAAATGCTTTACATGGATTACATTATTTCATCCTCACAACAATCCTACAAATTAGATGCTGTTGTCATCCTGCATTTACAGAACAAGAGTCTGTGACCAGATCCATCTGCTACGTGTCTGATCTATTGTCTGTGGCTCTGCAGTCTGTACTTCTCAGCAGAGCCTAGGCCGTCAGGCTGACTCCAGGTTCTAGTCCTGCCTGTGTCGCCAAGAGCAAGTTCCTTAACTCCTATGCTCCCATTTCTTTATCATAAAGTAAAAGCAGTACATAGCCCCTACGGTGGCGAAGAGGTTTAAATCGGTCCCATCATGAAAAGCATTTAGCCCAGTGTCTGTCACATAAGAGCACCCAAGTGATGAGACCGACATCCTCCCTATCATGGTGTGAAAGTGGTTGTGGGTGAGCCCATGAGCCTTTGACTCCCTGCTCCTAATGGGTTTACAGCAATACGTTCTAGTATCTTCTTGGTGTTGAACTAATGGACAATAATACACAGTAGGCTAGAGTTGCCCATTATGCAGTTCATGATAGCACAAGGGAGAAAGTTACTATAAAATGCCAACAGAATCATCTCAATAGCAAGTCCTCGGTGCTAAATCTCTTCTTTTTTTTTTTTTTTTTTTTTTTTTTTTTTTTTCTGGTAAGAAAGAATAGGCCTACCAGCTAATGTGGTGTCTGTAGACCTTAAATGGATTGTTCATTGGAGAATATACTCCCTGTTGGAAACTATGAAAAATATGTACAAGGTCCCAAGAGAAAATTTGGTGTTTTTCTATAAAGTCGCTTTAGACTTATAACGGCAATAAAAATAGGAAGTTGCAATAAAATCAAAGAGGTCAAGGATAAATTTTTTTGTGTTAAACTGTTAAAACATTTCTTGGAAGAAAACATTTGGAATCAGAGTTACCATATATTATCTATTAGTGGCCCAGCTAAGTTTTCCTGCAAAGACGAGCAGTGAGCATCCCAGCAGTAAGCCAATATAAGGCTAATTCCAGTGTACCGTACTGATCACCAAATTGTGCTCTGCTCCTCTCACTCAGAGCCTCCAAAGATTCGCATCCCACGGCACCTGAAGCAAACCTACATCCGCAGAGTTGGAGAAGCTGTCAACCTGGTTATACCTTTCCAGGTAACAAATCAGGGCTTGCTCGTTTTCTCTCGCAATGCTGGGGTGTTTAAGAAGACAGGGGAGATGCTCTAGTGTTGACGTTCATCAGGACTCAGGATTTCCTCCGAGGGAGACAGCTAAATAAGGGGAGAGACTTGGAGAGTGATGATCGGCTGCTGTGAAAGAGAAATCTATAAAACCATCATAGATGTTCCGTCTGCATGACACAAATGAGGCCTGAAGCTCTGGGGCTCTGGGGGGGCAGGGAGGAAACATCGAGGAGAAACCAAAACAAGAAATGCTGGGAGACTCTTTCCGGCCCTACACATCTGTAAAACTGACCTTCATTCGCAGTGAAGTCCTCAGGAAAACAACATGGGATGACTTCTCACCATTACCCCAAACCAAGCAGAATTCCAATAAGAGACATTACTGAAATTTGATGTCTCAATGCCACTAACTGAAAAAAAAAAAAAATGTGAACATTATTAAATCATTGCTCCAGCGAAAGAATTTGTTATTTATAAGATTAACTAGACTTTGCCTGCAGTAGTCAGTTTTGGTCTCTCTCTCCCTCTCACACACACACACTGCACCATCACACCCTTACTTATTTAACAGCCTTTTTTTTTTTTTTTGCCTCTGTTTAATGGACGTTTCTGTGATGGAGGTAATGTTTATATATGCGCTCTCCAACACGGTAACCAGCAGCCAAATGTGGCTGTTGAACACTTGAAATGTACAACTAGGAACTAGTGTGAATTTTCAATTTTTTTAAATTATAACTAATTTCAGTTTAACTAGCCACATGTTGCTCTTATATCAGACAGCATGGCCTTAGAATTTAGGTCCCTGTGCACATTTGAAAACACACACACACACACACACGAGTTCATTCAAACTCAGAGTCCCATGAAAACCAAGCTAACAAGACAGTCAACTCAAGCCATGGGGCCCACACCTTAGAAGAGGCAGTTTGTTATCTTCCACATACACCCTGCGTGAAATCAGAATGAAAGCCAGGGAGGACGTGAGTGTAAACACAGTAGAGGGGGAAGGAGATGACTTGCCAAAGTTCCTCCCACTTCTCTCCTCCACAGGCTCAAATAAAAGCAGGAGTTGAGACAAGGCAGCACTCAGGACTCAGCCCCAGTGCTGGACTGGAGCTGCTGAATCATTTCTATCACTAAGGCTGATCCCAGATCTTGGGCGTCTGTGTGTTTCATTTCTGTCACTGGGTCTGTGAGAGGAAAGAGCATGAGAATAGGGACCTCATGGGTATGGCCTCCCAGGGGCTGCTTAGCTGCCAGGAAGGGGCTGACAAGACTGCTCCATGGTTGTATCACCTCTAGAGTTCTCATAGGCATTTTCTCATTTAATTTGAAAAAATACCTTGTGAGGCAGGAAGGGCAGATTTCTTTATCCTCATTTGAAAAGAGAAGAATCTGATGGTCAGAGAAGTTAAGTGACTTGCCCAAGGTCACACAGCAAGTAAATGGTAGTACCAAGAGCAGAGTCTATGTCTCCTGACAATCCAGTACTTTTCTTACTTTATAGGTTCTCAGAGAACTCAATAGCCCCTCCCCCTCCTCCAGTAGTTAAGAGCAAAGTTTAAGGAAAGACCTGGAATTGTTTTTTCCTTTTCTTAACCATTTGTTCTCTACTTTCCCTGTGCAAGTCTAAGCACCCCAGCCATTCTTCCAGCTCTTTGGGCGGGGGTTTGATGTGTGTCTTTCACATTCCTTATCAATAAGCCACACTAGGAGCCGGAGGAAGGCCGTGCCTCACCTGACTGAATGAATGTTTGGTTCCCACCTTCGGGGTGAGCCTGGGAGCTCAGGAATCCTAGGAAGTTTCTTTGTCATATAAACTGAAACTCATGTCCATGAGTGAGATTATAATTTTTCAAAGTCTTCTTTTTTTAAATTGATTTATTTCAGAGAGGAAGGTAGAAGGAGAGAGAGAGAAAAAAAAACACACGTCAATGATGAGAGAGAACCATTGATTGGCTGCATGTCCTTCCCCTGGGGATCGAGCCCGAAACCCAGGCATGTGAAACACTGACCAGGAATCAGACTGCAGCCTCCCAGTTCATAGGTCAACATTCAGCTACTGAGCCACTCTGGCTGGGCACAAAGTCTGCTTTGAGAGAATAGTTTCAGCAGCTATAAAAAAAAGTGAATTATAGACAAGTCTGAAATGAGCTGGAATAAAAGGTGGAATAATAATCATTCACATTTAGATGATATTAATAAAACATTTATGTAGTATACAGAAACTTTCAAAGAACTTATCTTTATAACCACCCCGTGAGGCAGTACTGTCCTTATTTTACAAATTGGGAAACTGAGGCACAGAGAGTTTAAGTAACTTGCCCAAGGAAACACAGCTATTCAGTGGTGGAATCAGAATCCAAATATAGATTCCAGGACCCCAGAGCCCACGCTCTTGACCCTTATGTTGTGCTCTGCAGGCTTTGGCGCTAGTGACACCAGCCTATAAAACCTGGTTCTAATGCTTCCTTAGCTACAAGGCCTTGGGCAAGTCATTTAATTCCTTATCCAAAAAATGAGGATAATGATACTATCTTGATATGGAGATTACAGGAAATAATAAACTTCATGTACCTAATGTAGTGCCTTGTACGCAGAATATAACTAAGGCAGCGAGAATTACTGTTGCTGCTGTAGTCGCCCACCACCAGGCTCTTTGCCAACTTTGTCTTGAACAGAGCAAGACACTGTCATTTTTTTGTAATAGTAGAAACAAAAATCTTGAGACAATCTGATTTCCCTCCCCCTCTACTTTCTCTGTCTTCCTTTTTAGGGAAAACCAAGACCAGAATTAACTTGGAAGAAGGATGGTGCCGAAATTGATAAAAATCAAATCAACATTCGCAACTCTGAGACTGACACGATCATATTTATCAGAAAAGCGGAGAGGAGCCACTCAGGGAAATACGATCTGGAAGTCAAAGTGGAGAAATACGTGGAAAGCGCATCAATCGACATCCAGATCGTGGGTAGGTTTGGAAGAAGGAACTAGAACGTCCTGTCAACTCGGTATTTGGACTACTTGTCCTTGTCATTAAGGCTAAAGCAACAATTTGTGTGAAGCTGGCTCTACATAAAATTCTTTATTAAAAATTTCTCAATATAAATTAGTAAGATGTATTAGCATTTCAGAACAATTTTTCACTAAAAGGACTAATCATGGGAGACAGGGCATCTATATTAAAGAAAAGTAATGGATATACTTTTTAGTGAAAAACATCTGTATTGCTTTACAATTCAGTCCTCTCTTACTCTGTTTCTCAACTCCTCAACAATAGAACTACTTCCTGTGTTGAATTCTTGCATAGAAAACCTTGTAGATTCTGGACACAGCCAATATCAGCTTACATTTCCAATTAGGCAGCCTATCCTTGTGATTCAATGCCAGTAGGCTGCCCTGGAGGGGTAGTTAATACGGTCTGAGATTTCATTTTAATTTTCTTTTCAAAATCCTTTTTCCCCTCAGGAAGATGAAAATCAAGAGTTTCCAGATAAGCTTAGCTAGAGTGCATTCCACTTCTCTGAAGTTTAAGAGTGGTACAAGAAATGTGGGTAGAGATGCAGGGAAGGAGGGATGTTTTGAAATACCCTCCTGAAGCAATGCGTAGGTTGGGAGGGAAAGTGGCCTTCCAGTGATGCTGTGAATTAATCCTGTAGACCGTCCGGGTCCACCCCAACTTGTGAAGATTGAGGATGTCTGGGGAGAGAATGTTGCCCTATCATGGACACCACCAAAGGATGATGGAAATGCGGCCATTACAGGGTACACGATCCAGAAGGCTGACAAGAAGAGCATGGTAAGGCCTGGCTTTCTCTGATTCAGCAGCAGCAAAATCACATTTCACCAGAAGTAAAGGGGGAACTAGGAGGTCCTCTCTCATGAGGAACCCATGGGGCCATGGAGAGATGAGCTGACTTAAGAGTCAGACTTGAATCCCAGCATTGCCGCTTAAGAACAAGTACACATGAACATCATTTTGATCTCCATCTTCCTTGTCTATCACGCAGGTTCATGAATACTTACTTTGCTTGGTTATAATGAAGCTAAAATAAATAATAATAATAATAATGATAATAATCTATATTAATAAAAGGGTAATATACTAATTAGATCAGACATCCATCCAGACATCCTTCCAGACAAAGCCATGGTGGTGGGGGCCGAGGCAGAGGCGGTTAGGGGCAATCAGGCAGGCAGGGGAGCAGTTAGGGGCATCAGGAAGGCAGGCAAAGTGGTTAGGGGTGATCAGGCAGGCAAGTGAGCGGTTAGGAGTCAGCACTCCGGATTGCGAGAGGAATGTCCAACTGTGGGATCGGGCCTAAACAGGTAGTCAGATATCCCCCAAGGGGTCCCAGATTGGAGAGGGTGCAGGCCGGACTGAGGGACACCGCCCCCCCCCATGCACGAATTTCATGCACCGAGCCTTTAGTAATCCTATATAATAAAAGGGTAATATGCAAATTGACACTAACAGCAGAATGACTGGGAATGATTGGTTACTATGACACACACTGACCACTAGGGGGCAGATGCTCAATGCAGGAGCTGCCCCCTGGTGGCCAGTGCACTCTCACAGGGGGAGCTCTGCTCAGCCACAAGCCAGGCTGAAGGCTGCCAGCATAGCGGTGGTGGCAGGAGCCTCTCCGGCCTCCTCAGCAGCACTAAGGATGTCTTACTGCAGCTTAGGCCTGCTCCACACTGGCAAGTGGACATCCCGGGCTGCCAGAGGGATGTCTGACTGCCAGCTTAGGCCGGATCCCCTGGGGAGTGGGCCTAAGCCAGCAGGTGGACATTCCCCAAGGGGTCCCAGACTGCAAGAGAGCACAGGCCAGGCTGAGGGACCCCCCCGAGTGCACAAATTTTTGTGCACTGAGCCTCTAGTATATAATAAAAAATAAAAGCACCTTTCACAATGCTCAATAGAATTTTATAGATTCACTAGAGGCCCAGTGCACAGATTCATGCACTGGTGAGGTCCCTCGGCCTGGCCTGTGGGGATGGGGCCAAAACCAGCTCTCCGACATCCCCTGAGGGGTTCTGGATTGCGAGAGGGTGGTTCTCAGGTGACTCACCCTGGAACAGGGCTCACTCCTCTCTGGTTCCAGGTGCATCACCCGAGAACCGCCGCTGCCAAGTGACCGCAGATGGCAGTTCCTTCGTTGAGTGTCTGCCTCCTGGTGGTCAGTGTGCATCATAGCTACTGGCCAGTCAGCTGGTCACTTAGGCTTTTATATATATAGATTTGTTCAACAAACATTTACTCACTCTGGATTCTGACTCAGATTTACACCCATGCAGCTCTTTCTCCTTGTAAAATAAATGTTGAATAGCATGGTTGCTAGTTAGAAAAGAAAGACTCTAAAGCAGCAGTTCTCAACCTGTGGGTTGCAACCCCTTTGGCGGTCAAACGACCCTTTCACAGGGGTCACCTAAGACCATCCTGCATATCAGATATTTACATTACGATTCATCACAGTAGCAACATTACAGTTATGAAGTAGCAACAAAAATAATTTTATGGTTGGGTCACAACATGAGGAACTGTATTTAAAGGGCCAGAAGGTTGATGACCACTGCTCTAAAGGAAACAGCATGTGCAAAGGTCCTGAGGAAGGAAGGAGCTTAGGGTGCTCAAGAAGAAACCCAGCTCCGCCTGTATGGCTCAGTGGTTGAGCATCTACCTATGAACCAGGAGGTCACAGCACATGCCCAGGTTGTGGGCTAGATCTCCAGTTGGGGGCATTCAGGAAGCAGCCAATCAATGATTCTCTCTCATCACTGATATTTCTCTCTCTTTCTCTCTCCCTCTCCCTTCCTCTCTGAAATCAATAAAAATATATTTTCTTAAAAAAGAAGATACTCAGTTGGAATATGAATTACTACTACCATATTTTATAGATGAGGAAACTGAGGCTCAGAAAGTATGAATGGCTTGCTTGAAATCATTAGATTTTAAATGTTAGAGTGTCGGTCTTTCTGAATCTGAATCCATCCACTACAACCTGCCTGTAAATGAATGAAAGATTAAATGAAAGTTTGGACATACAATGCCATAGAGCCATTTTTCCCTCTCATAGGAAGAGTAAAACATCATACTGAAAGATATTAATAAAAAGTCTTTTAAAATAGTATTTTATTGAATTTATTGAGATGACATTGGTTGATAAAATTATATAGGTTTCAGGTGTACAATTCTATAATACATCATCTGTATATTGTATTGTATGTTCAACACCCAAAGTCAAGTCTCCTTCCATCACATCACCGTTTATCGCCCCCCCCTTTACCATCTTCTACCTCCTCCCACCCCTAATAAGAAGTCTTTAAACATTTATACCAGTAGATAGCAGTAATAACATAGCTTATGAAATTACATAGGGTTAATAGAACAAGGGAGGGGAGTTGGGAAGGGCCATTTAAGCCATAGGAATTGACTTCAAGCTCCACCTTTTCATAAACTATTTCTAGCATGTCTTCCCCTGCCTCTCCCCCCCCCCCAACCCCCCGCGACCCCATGGGTGTTATGTGACAAAATGTGTCATTTAAAGGAACATCTTTTAGCTAAACATGGGCAGCTTGAGAGCTGGATCAATGGATGACTTTGCAAGGGAAGTACTGCATGTCTTGAATTTCCTTAACACTGAGGCTCTCCTCTGGACTGTGGCTTAGAGACTGGCAGTGAATCCAGAGGTACCACATTTCCTTCAGGTGGTACCTCCATTCTTCCATCCCCATCAGACTTGCTCAATATTTGTTTTCTTAGATACATAGTCAAGTTTAGATGAGCCAGTACTTTCCTGATGCTTCATATATCTCAGGTCTGCCTAGTAACAGGGGATGGTCCCTAACCCCTACACCCCTGTGTTTCTGTTGCATTTCAGCAGGGGCGAACCTATGGACCCCAAGATGCTCATTCTTCACAGTGCACTTCCCAGAGATCACTGCACCATTGCCTTGTGGCTACAGATGCTATTCTTCACTTAAATTCCTATAGTCTTTCATACCTTCCATAAACATTGTTTTCATTATCTGTGCCAACATACAAGGGTAGGCAAAAGTAAATTTACAGTTGTGATTATGTGGAACACAAAGTTTATTCTTAACTAATTTATTAATTATTGTATTATCTTTCATAGGAATAACTGTAACCCTACTTTTGCCCACCTGTGTATTTATTTATTCAGTCATTTACTATGGGTTGAGCACACTTCTAGCTGCTGGAGAAAAGAAATGGAAGGAAGGAAGGAAGGAAGGAAGGAAGGGAAGGGAAGGGAAGGGAAGGGAAGGGAAGGGAAGGGAAGGGAAGGGAAGGGAAGGGAAGGGAAGGGAAGGGAAGAAAGGAGGGAGGGAGGACAGCTCCTATTCTTAGCACACTCACAGTCTAGCAATAAGAAAGACATAAAACCAAATGACAAAACAATATGATAAATGTTGGAACAAAGGTTTGTATAAAGTAAAATGGATGTAAAAAAGGGCATAAATACATTCGTTTGCTGTCTTAAAATATGCAAAGTACATATATAACTATGGCCCCTAAAAGTTGTAAGAAAAATTCTTTCCTTTATGAACTTTTTTGTCAGTAAGTGTATTTTCTCAATTAGTGGTCCCAAACACATGTGGTACCATGGGAAATTCCACTGGTTGCCAGATCAATTTTGAGACTACTATATTTTTTGGTATGGTGAGGGGAAAAAATGAAAAAAAAAAGTTTAGCTTCTCATTCATTCATCCATTATAGTATTTAATAAACATTTATTTTGTGCAAGGTACCTACTGTATGCCAGGTATTGTGATAGGCATTAGGGATACAAGGAGAGAGAAGAAACGTCTGTCTTTAACATCCTGGCTTGTTCATACCAGTGATGGGTGGGGTAGAGAATAAACAAGTCAAACAGTAAATATATAATTTAAGGTAGCAAGTGCTGTGAAGAAAACTTCCCCAGGTTAAGGTGACAGAGTGTGGCCTAAGTAGAGCAATGGAAAGCTGAACAGTTAGGAAGGAGATGAGATCTCAGCACAGACCCAAAAGAACCTGTGTTGATAATATTTGGCAAATTTGTTGAACAATTTTAATTTTTCTCTGGTGATTTAAATCATCTCTTCCTCAGAATAGATATCTTGGCAATAAAATGTTATAATTATATTCTGTTATCCAAAAGGTAGATAAGTAGACAAGTAGATTGATAGATGACAGACTGTACAGTTATGAGAAAAGTATAAAGGTAGTAGTTGACATCTAGGGTATATGATTCTAATGTATACATGAAGATTAAATTATACAGTCAAGTATAAATCAATTATAAAGTATTAAATACATTAAATGTACATAGTTATTGCTCTCAAGATAAAAATTTGTGCTATTTTTCTGTTAGTGAATGAAACATCCCTGATATTTATTCTAATCAATAGTTGGGATAGTTGTGTATTTTTAGGTGATTTTCCTCAAATTGTTTTTCTTTCAGGAATGGTTCACTGTCATTGAGCACTATCACCGAACCCATGCCACCATTACTGAACTGGTCATAGGCAATGAATACTACTTCCGAGTCTTTGCTGAAAACATGTGTGGCCTCAGTGAGAATGCAACAATGACTAAAGAGAGCGCTGTGATCGCCAAGGATGGTGAGTTGGTAGTGGGCTGATAAAGGGGGCTCTCACCCAATTCCAGTGAGTGGAGGTTTGGTTGAGTTTCCCTGACACCAAACAAGTCTTAGACACCAGCTGGATGCCCCACAATTCCATTCCATTCTGACATTACCCAGAGATAGCATCAGATCCCACAGGTTCCAGGCTCAGTCCCACAAGAATTTCCCCACCTCCCACTTCAAATGCCAATTGCAAGTCCAAGCTGTCTCCTGTGCTTCCGACTAACAGGCTATAAATCAGAGGTTCCAATGACCCTCTCCTCAGGTTTGATTAACTTCCTAGAGTAGCTCACAGAACTCAGAGAAATATTCTATCTACTGTATCACTGGTTTAATAGGAAAGATTTTAACTCAGGAACACCCAGATGGAAGAGGGGCATAGGCAAAGGATGGGGAATGGGCACGGAGTGTCCAAGCTCTCAGAGCACCATCACGCTCCTAGAATCTCCCAGTGTTCACCAATCCAGAAGCTCTACAAACATGTCCTTTTTGGTTTTTAAGGAGGCTTCATTACACAGCCATGGTTGATTAAATCTCCAGCCCCTCTCTCCTCCTTGGAGGTCTGGGGGTGGGACTAAAAGTTTCAACCCACTAATCACAAGGTTGGTTTCCTTTGGCAACCAGTCCCTAGGTGGTGGTAGTGGTGGTGGTGGTGGTGGTGGTGGTGGTGGTGGTGGTGTGTGTCAAATGCTACCTCATTAACATAACAAAATATACCTTTATAGCTCTCCTTGCTTAGGAAATTTCAAGGGTTTGGAGCTCTGTGCCAGAAATGAGGATAAAGACCACATATATGTTTCTTATTATAAATCACAATTTCACAACTAGACATCTGGAGACTTTGGTTTTCAGTAACTAGAGGAGACTGAAAGAAAAAGAAATGTGGTGAAAGGAAATAAGAAAATTATAAACACATATTTTTAAATTATGATAAAAATGTCCAATAATAAATTTAAAAGTAAAAATTTTAGAGGAAAATTATATTATTATTGCATTTTAAAAAATGTAAGCTGAATTCATTCCAACTTCTGGGCAGTAGGTATATAAATGCCTAAATTCACAAGGATAGGAAAAAGTAGATATTGACTTATTGAGCTTGGGTTACTTCTATTCTTAGACACCTTCAAAGTAGCTACACATGAGACCCATGAAGTGGGTGAGGCTGAATTCCATGCCTATCATTTCATTTCCTCATCACTGTCACAGTAAAACTCATGGTTGATCAAAATACTCTGACACCAAATTCTTCTCAACATTTTTTCAGTTTCAGATGACCACTCTGCCCCCTGTGGGATATGTGTACTCTCCAGAATGAATGCTGTGTGGTGTTCATTTGTGTTTTCACATGTTTTTCTAAGTTCAGGGAAGTTTTCATGGTGAGTAAAGTATGCCAAGAATAATATAGCCTCAGGCCAATTTGTGTATTTCTAATGCTTGTTTTTAAGGTAAAGTCTATAAAAATCCAGTGTATGAAGACTTCGATTTCACAGAGGCGCCCATGTTCACTCAGCCTTTGGTCAACACCTACGCTATAGCTGGGTACAATGCCACTCTGAACTGCAGTGTGAGAGGAAATCCCAAGGTACCATGTTTGTTAATTTTTTAATCACATTAGTTAAATTTAAGAATTAATCTGAAACTCTCCCTTTTGTATTTGCCACACTATAAATATACGTAGGAATACAAACGAACCCTCCAACTGCTATTTGTGTCTTATTCTGGGGTTGGGGAGTGGTATTGTTGGAAAATTAGGTACACTATTTAAGTAGTAAAAAATGTTTACATTTCTTTACTAAATAAGGGATTCATTCTAAGGAAAAACCAAATCACCTATTTTAAAAAGAACTAAGAGGTGAGGAGATGGGAGTAATATTGTTTCACATAAAAATTAGGGGGAAATATTGATTCATCAAGTTTTCTCTAATAGATTAAGACAAATAATAATACTATAATGCAAGGCAGAATTTAAAGTGTGCTATATTAAGGGTACAGAGTACTTGGAAGGGAGAAATCACATCTGACAGAAGAGAGTTAGAAAGGTTTGAAGGTTTCATGTTGGCATTTGAAAAGAACAAGTAGTTAATGAATGTTGCCCATGGAGACATTTATCTGGGTGGCACTGAAGGAAGGAGCCCTAGAATTTGAAAAATTGCAAACAGTGGTATTTTTTCCACATGTGCCATGAACAGAAATAGGAAAGACAGAGAGAAGCCAAACTGAGGATAGGAGGAAGATGCTGAATTTGTGTTTAATTGGAAGTGATGTTGGTCCATCCAAGTAGGAATGATCAGTAGGCAGAGGAGAAGTTCACTGGAGCTTAGACAAAGGCCAAGGCTGTGACTCTCAGTTTAGGAGTCCCCAGGCATGGGGGCAGATGAGGAGGTACAATCCATCCCTTGGAGTCATTAGAAAGGAATACCACTGAGGAAAGAGAGTAATGAGGAAAAGGCCCAGGACCAAGTGAGCCTCAATGAATACTTTCACTTGAAAGGTGGAAGGAAGAAAGAACAGTATGAAGAAGAAAGAGAAGGGCCATCTCTAAGGTCTGAAAAAGCAAAATCATATAAGAGGTAGAAGAGGGAATGAGGAGGCTGTGCAGTTACATAAGGAAGGGGAAGACAATATGAATAAGGAGTAGGAGGTCAATGATGTTAGATATAGTTCAGGGGTCAAGGAGAATGGAGTCACCTCCCTGGGTGTTTAGGTTATGATAGGTCTTGAATTACCTGGTTGGAGAAGATCCATTGCCACCAGATGCTGAAAGCAGATGTCAGAGGACAAATTAAATGGTGAGGAGGCATAAGTAGCCCACAAATAATTAGAAAAAGATATCAGGAAAATGAAGTGAGGAAATTCGATGGTTATGACACCTTATGGGGATTCTCTGAAAAAAGTCCAGCAATATATAGTCTCTTAGATGAGTTAACCTCATGGACCTGTAGATGAAATTGAAATGCAATTGAATCCTTTTGGGAAGATTGCTCCAGAGCTGTCCTGTGAACAAACCTGACTTACTTTTTCAGAACTGTTCATGTAGTGCAAACTTGATCACTAACTCTGCATGATGTTGCAGAAGTGAAGGGAACCAGGTTTGCTGAATTTATTGTGGTGAGAGAAATGTATTCGCCGCAGAAGCTACTGAGGTGGTCCATTCTATCTTAGTACAATGTAAAGAAAAAAAGAAGAACTGCTCATTTGCTCTCTTGCCAAACACTAGGTAGAGTTTAATTTGAGAGAAACTGTGCTCAAATAGATGTGGATTCTTTTTAGGTGTCCTCTCTAAGCTATGCTTTAAAATTCTGTCACTGCTTTGATGGCCTATTAATATGCTAAGTACAGATATGTTTTGACCCTCATTTACTTCAATATTAATTTCAGCCCAAAATAACCTGGATGAAAAACAAAGTTGCTATTGTGGATGACCCAAGATACAGGATGTTCAGCAACCAAGGGGTCTGTACGCTGGAGATTCGCAAGCCCAGCTCCTATGACGGAGGCACTTACTGCTGCAAAGCAGTCAATAACCTAGGGACAGTGGAGGTCGAATGCAAACTGGAGGTGAAAGGTATGACATCCAAGACCTTGGGTGTAGAATAAAATGAAATAAAACCATTTAATTATTATGCTTACTGCAAAATCCAAATTGTTTGCCAAAATGTTCTGGGGTGGAGGAGGAAGGGGCAAGAGACTTGGGGTAGAGAATACATTTTTACATCTTGCATTCACTCTTGATTTATTTGTGCAGTTTGTTTGACTTGTTAAGTAGACTTACCTTAAACTCTTGCAATTCTTGTTAACTGAAGAAATATTAATTACAGTGGAATGCTGGTATGTGTACAGCATGGTGAGAATAAATGAAGTTAAGAGGGTATTATTTTGATGATGTAGTCCATCCATAAATAGAAGCCTAGGGCAAAAACGTATCTAAAGATAGAAATTTACGCTATTTTAAATTAGTTTACTATTTTGTGAAACTTTCAATACATATGGGTAAGTTTGCTAATTGAGTGTAGACTATTACTTATGTAGAATATAGCATCTACATATGTTAACCAGTTGCTTTTAAAATCTCATTAGAGAACTTCCATTTACAGTACATTTCATTTATACTAGTTTTCTACTGATGTAAATCAAGAAAACATATAAGGATTGATGTGGTAAAAAAGTTTCAGCATAACCTCTTGTCTTAATCAGTTTTCATATTAATTGAGTATAATTTATATAGTAAAGTATTTTTCTTGGCAATCAAAACCTACTTTGGGACACCATGAGATAATAGGTGACATGATTCTAATATCTTTTCTCTCATCCGTATTGTATCACCTTGCCTCTCTGTGACAGTGAAGGCTTTTCTCTACCTCTCTATAATGAAGAAATTATTATCTAAAAGTCAGAAAGATAATCTTGTAATATCTATTTATTGGAAAAACGTAGTAAATGCTTAGAGTACTTATGTTAAAAAAGTTTTTAGTCCTAAATTTAGTATAAAATCGTTAAGAAACTTATTGAAAAAAATTCCTTTGTAACTTTTTTTTAAAAAAATTATTCTTTCTCTTCTGATCTCTGTCAGTCCTGTGGTAATATGGTACAATAGATTCATAATTGAGTGAGAGAGAAAGAACAAGTTTAAAACATAACATCCTTAGAAAAATTTTAAAACTTACTCTTAAGATAGTGCTTACAAATGTAAACATTACTTTTAAGTTTTTATTAGCTTTAAATGCAGATTATGGTCCCAGTTGCAATACATCTGGTTTCTAAACTCTTAGGCTTAGTAATTCCAAGGTACTATTGGTACTTATGTTTCAGCATCCAAAAATAAAAATAAAAACAAAAGCCTAGTGCAACTTCTGCGTGTTTTGAAAATAACTGGATGTTGCTAATGATATAAAATGATGATTTCATAACTGGTTCAACATTTGGGGGTCCTTCCTAAAAGATAATAATGTTATGTATATATAGATGATATATTTTTATGTAATTGCATGGTGAATTATATGATAATTGAATTTAATAATAAAAATAATGTATTTTAATACATACGTTCATAGTAAAATATCAATTGCAACATATTGGTAAAACTTTTGGGTCCTAAAATTAAAGCCAAGGTTTGTTTATCGTCAGATTGTTATCTGATAATAGGTGACTTGAATCAAGTTAAGCTGTAAAAATAAAGGTAAATATGTGAACTGAGAACAAATAAATATTGGTACAAATATTCTAATTCTACAGTGATATATCAACGAGTATTTTCCCCTGGAGAACCACTGTTCCTGGAGGGGCAGCAACAGGTTTTAAAAATTCATATCGCACCAGATATTTCTACTTCCTGTTCCATTCCTCTTACATGAAATCGCACTTTGCATGTAAAGCTTGACTTTCTCATTTGCTTCTCATTATATTTTTTTAGCAGCTCGTGGCATACAGTGTTTATGCCATGAACTAGGAAGGCCAAATTATTCAAGGTTATTAAGTAATTAGGAACTAAGTTTTGTCAGAAAACTAAGTACCATAGCACAGGTCCCCATAAATAAAGCCGTAAGGCTGCATTTGAAGATACCATATTTTAGATGTAAGATTATCAACACCTAGGAACCAATGACATTTCTGTAATAATTGCATTTTTCACATGTAAAGAGATACGATCTCCCTTTAAGATAGTTTCCAGGGTGGTTTCCTTAGATTTGTGTTGAAATTCGGAAAACTGAACCTTTTAAAATTGCCAAGCTGTAGAAAAAGTGTTCCGAGCATTTTTAATAGGGAAAGGTCACAAATAAAAACAGATCCAATATTTAGAAACTTTCATAGTTAAGACTTTCCCCTGAAAAATTCACCAGTAGGATATCTGTAACCCATCTTTCTATTGGACATTTTAGATATTTTCATGGGACCAAAAGTATTTCATATACTCATGAATTTAAATGGACAGATAAGTCTAGGTCCCATTATTAAATCTATTAAGTATTAAATGAGTCTGATAGTATATGTATCATTCTCCCCCAGTTGGAAGAATGGATTAAGAAGTTCTTTGGGGATGGGTAAGAAACTTGATGTAAACTCTCTGCTGTAGATCTATGACTGAGTTTATCATGTGCTCTTTGAATTCCCAGAGGTAATGTCAGCTTTCAAAGGAGAAAAGAATTAGGGCTATTTCTTAAAAGTTTTGTAGATTATACATATAGTCACTTTCTAGGCTGTTTGTTTAAGCCTTGTGTTTATATAGATTAGTCACATTTGGAATCATTTCAGAATACATATTATAGAATACACTAGTCTCACATTAATACCTACTTGATAATTTTGCCTTTTAGAATTTCAACATATATATATGTACACTAATACTTTGTTCATCATCTATGTTTTTCTTTTGTTGAAAAACACAATATATATATGTTGTAGGATTTTTTTTTTAAGCTAATGGTTTGGAAGCTCTTACCATAAATATTCACTGTACAATCCAATTGGCTTTGCCACCTGTTTAGGCAAAGTGGTTGTGCATATTAATAAGTGTTTTACATATTAATGATCCTTTTGAAGTGACTGGATCCCTGCCCTTCACTCCATGTGCTTCTATGTTCCTACATCTTTCACATGACTAAGGATTAATGAAATCACCTCATCATAATCGCAACCATAATTTCATCCAACAAGTACTCAACTCTGGTTTTAGCACTTTATTAATGCTCAAAACTTCTCTCTCTCTCTCTCTCTTTCTCTCTCTTCCTTAGTTGTAGCACAGTAAGGATTTTTGAATGTGTATTATCATCTAAGGTAAGCTTTCATATGGATTTGGCATATGAAGCTTATGCTGTCATAAGTCATACAGAGCTTGTGGAGTATGGCATGATTTTCATTATGTAGTCCAATGAAAATAGACTATTTAAAACATCTAACTTTGTAGTTTTTAATTTGTATTTTAGTATCTTGAAATTAACAACTAGTACTTATTCAGCACAACAATCTCCTGTTGACATGAATGCGGTAGAGCATGAATTAAAGCATTTAATGTGGATGAAAACGAGTGATACCCAAGCATTCTGAACGCTTTGCATCAAGGAATGGACATGTACAAAAGTGGCATCATTTCTACCGATATGTGACTTGAAGTCTTTTTTTAAAAGGAGAATGACTTTTCCAAATTTGCACTAAAGAAGTTTAAGAATGTTCATATGGCATGCTGTTTCTGTCTGGACGTGAATTTATTAGCAAGTAGTGAAGTACTTTTCCAAAGGATCATGAATTGTATAGTTTCATGGGTTCTCTCATGAAGGGCACTTTTATTTTTTTAGATATAATTCAGAAACATGAAAGGTAAGTATCAAATATTAGTAGGTATTTCTCTGACCTTCAGAAGGTATTGGATAGGTTTTACTATTTTTAACAAACTATTCCAATGTGAGCCCTAGCCGGATTGGCTCAGTGGTTAAAGTGTAAGCCCTCAGACTTGAGGGTCACAGGTTCGATTCTGGTTAAGGGCACGTATTTTGGTTGCAGGCTTGATCCCTGCCCTGGTCAGGGCGTGTGCAGGAGGCAACCAATCGATGTGTCTCTCTCATGTCAATGTTTTTCTCTCTGTCTCTCCCCCTCGCTTCCACTCTCTCTAAAAAAGTATCAAAGTAAAAAATGTCCTTGGGTGAAGATTAACAAACCAAAAACAATCTTTTTTTTCCAATTTGTTTCACTCTTGACAATGTATAAGTAGCCAAGTTTAAAGGAGTCATCTCCTTTTTCTTCTCTAAAGTGTTTGAGTTAGAACTTGGTACTTAATTAAAAAGAACAGAAATAAACCGGAAACAGTTCTTCCTGCTGATTCATAACATGGTAATGCATTTATTCTGCCATTCAGTCAAAGCACTTAAATCATCTATAGAGAATCCCAAAACCTCTCAAAGAGTGATAAGTATTTCCCAACCAGTTAGGAAATTAAATTAAGATTGAATAACAGCAGGAAACAAAGGACTTCTATAGGCCTAGCCAGAACTTGCTTTTCCTTCTAGATGTCTAGTGCCTTAAAATCTAAATATACTAAATCCAGGAGAAGATTTCCGAGCAGGGACTGATTGAATCTTTGTAACTAACTGAAACATAATTAGACACATTTCCAGGCAGCTAGTCCAGGAGTATTGTTTCAGCGATTTTTCACATAGACGGTTTTGACTTTGCCTTTTCCTTTTTGTCCTCTCCAGGTGGACTTTCCTTCTGCAGGCTCCTCTTGCAAGGTGTACCTCCTAACATAATTGAGTCATATATGCGAGATTTGCACTCAAGCAATCCTGAGGAATACTAAGGGCCCGGCCACGGCCCCTGCACTCTACTGCTTTGAAATATGGTTGCAATGAGAAAGCGTTGTCTGTGTTAATACCAGGCACCCAAGTGTGGCCGTTGTTTTTTTTTTTTTTTTTTTTTTCTTTTCTTTTTTTTCCTTCTAATGTTGAAGAAGAAAAAAATGTTTGCAAAAATTGCTTCATTAAAAACTGTAAACAAAATCCCATTTGAAGTCAGTGTTTTGATCATTATTGTCTGTGTTTTGTCACTGTACTTTACAAAAAAGCAAGCTATACTATAAGCAAAAGTAGTTACTTTAGTTTTACTTAACAGGCTATAAATGCTTTTTCCAGGCTAAAAACTAGTCCAATACACCATAATGAAATCTTGAATACCCATCTTTCTCTTGATCTAAGAGATTTTCTAAGCAAAGCAGAATTGTGTGTTTCCTACAACCCTGCACCAGTGGATCTGTGCCTACTTCCCCATTTGAATTTGCTAGAAGACTTCTTAAAGTCAAACAAGTTTTCTCAACAGAAGGGGAAGTGTATTCAATAAACGCTACAATAAATCTGAAGTGTTTGTGTTGAAATGACACAGTCCTGGTTTTTGTGTTAGGGGTTGTGCACTCAGACAGACTGAAGACAAAAGGCCAGGAGCCAGCATGCTACCAAACTCAGCCCTGACCTCCAGCATGTCTCTCTGGCTCGGCATCCTGGCCAAACCCACCAGAGCTCCTGCCAAAACCGCCACAGTGACAGAGAGCTGGTGCAGGCTACAGAGCAGCTACAGATGTAGGGTTGGCTGATGGCTTCCGTTCAAATGGGTGGAAACCTTCTTTAAAAATCTAGAAGCTGAGACACATTTGTGCAAAACCATAATCTCTCTGGCAGCTCCCTTCCCTCCTCTTGGTGTAGAGAACGTCGCAGCTGAAGGAGAAGAGTAGGAGTGTAAGATACCACACTTTTTTTCTTGCCCCCTTTTTTTCTTTTGGCCTTTTGTTCTAGGAGCTAACTACACTGTGACCTGTTGGTGGGCCCATAGCACCTGGGACAACATTTAGAAATATCTGCTCTGCTTCCTTTCCGTGTGAGAGCTGGGAAGCTGTGAGGGTGGTCCTGCTCCTGGGTGGATGTGTGGCCCCTAACGGGAAGGAGTGAATGGTGCGGGTAGTTGTAGTATGTTTGGGAACAGCAAGGAGAAACTCGAGTTCTTGTCCAAACTATAGTGGCCACATCTTTTCCTGTCCTGATTGGTTGGTGATCTTGCCTTCCTGGTTGCTAAGAATATTGACCATCACCACATGTTCTCAACAAATCTGAAATAATAATGTGTGCAATCCCTATGCAAAGCCCCATTTTAATCAGAAAATCCATTTCCAGGTTATTGACTAAGATATTTTACATAAAAGAAGTCTGGCTCAGCCGGCGTGACTCAGTGATTGAACGTCGACCTATGAAGCTGGAGGTCACAGTTCCATTCCTGGTCAGGGCACATGCCCTGGTCAGGGCTCGATTCCCCAGTGCAGGTCGTGCAGGAGGCAGCCGATCAATGATTCTCTCTCATCATTGATGTTTCTATTTCTTCCTCTCCCTTCCTCTTCGAAATCAATAAAAATATATTATTTATAAATTTAAAATAAATACAAGTATTTTTTTAAAAAGAAGTCTGGCTTATCTATAAAGCAGTGAAGACTATATATCTCTACTGCAAACCAAGTAAGACCCTATCTCTATGTGGCACAACCAATCAGTATGGCCCCTGCTGCCTGGTTGCTAGGCCAGAGGCCCAGTGCAGCAGGTGAGCTGGTTGCCTAATTTAAACACTCATGGTCAAGCTTGTTATGCCATTTATAAACCTAGCCTACAAGGGACCATAAAGCATCCTTATAAAATACTGGTTCCCAGTCATGACTTTTGCTCTAACTATATTTTGTACCAGAGAATGTTATTTTTCTACAAGTGATCTCTCTCCTCATATTAAGGGCACTTCCATACCGCAAAGTTCTAATAGGAAATAAAAAGCCTATTTTAGAACTACAAAGAGCAAAGAATGTCAGAAGCTGTCATTGCTATTAGCTGCCTACACCTTTGTGCTAGTTTTGTGTTAGTTTCACTCTGTTACAGAAAAAGTTATATATCAGAGGAATTTACCAAAAATTCTTTTTGGGAACTAAACATTTATTACATTTTTTAAATGATCACGCTTACTTACTTTAAAAGAAAACCTAATACATATTGTCATGTAAATTAATACAGAAGTAAGGGAGAAAACCACTAGTTCCAAGAACATTGGAACAAGGTCATATGTCCTTAACCACTCATTCTTTTTTTTAAATATATTTTTTTTATTGATTTCGGAGAGGGAGAGAGAGATAGAAATAGCAACGATGAGAGAGAATTATTGATTGGCTGCCTCTTACATGACCCCAGGGGGATCAAACCCGGAACCCGGCATGTGCCCTGACCAGGATTCAAACTGTGACCTCCTGGTTCATAGGTTGATGCTCAACCACTGAGCTATGCCAGTTGGATACCACTCACTCTTAAGGTGAATTCTGAGACATTCTATTAAGCTCAACAAATGCATTATTGAATGTCTGATGCATGCATGGTACTGCGATGGGTTCAGCTAGGAACCCAATGAGAAATAAGCCACTTCATGCCTTTAAGGAATTTATGACACATCACACTAATACATGTAGGGAAAGACACAGGCAGAGCAGCACGCAGGTGTAATAGATCTATAAGGCTTCAGAAGCTGAGTAGCGTGGTCTATGTGCTATAACCCATGTGTGTATCACACCAGAATGTAGTACAGGACATGCCACATGACTTCGTTTTTGTAAATCAAATTAAAGATCATTCTGAGCTCCCCACTAGCCGGAGAAATTGAGACATTCTCTCTGCCCTGCTTGGAAGGTCCTATCTCAGGTCCTGGGCCAACTGGAATCTTTCCTGGAGCCTAGAAAATGGAGAGAAGGGCCCGGCCGGCATGGCTCAGTGGCTGACCTATGAACCAGGAGTTCACGGTTTGATTCCCAGTCAG